TGTGTATGGTACCAAAATGACTTCTGTTATGAGTCGAACCCTGGACAAGCGGCAGTGAGTGATTCTGGTAGGAGTCGAATTCAGGAGTAATAGCGACAGGATACCTTTGAATTCCACTAAAATTCGAACACGGCACAAGCGACACTTGGGTCCGTATTCATGAAACTGTTCTCATGCTCAAGCATGGACTATATGCACAAACCAGTTTTCCTGTAACTCACTTTAATCATGTCAAACGATCAAAAAGTCAAATGTAAACATTGGAAACAGTATACGGCCTTCAATGTTTTCCAAATCATTGACATTTTTTTTTATTGATCTATTACCGGAACACGAAATTAGGCTTGAGCACAAAATACATGACTGGGCATGAGAACGGTTCCATAAATACGGGCCCAGGGTTTGTGTTTCCGTCAGAAATTGCAGACACAACGAAAATAGAGCACATGAAAGTCTGCGGTGTAGCCCGGATCAAATATGTTATTCCTGAAATATTGTTCTATTAGGAGTTGAAATCTGGACAAGTGACACAGGTCTTGCGCAGTGTGTCGAACCCATGTGCAAATTGAAATTAAAACAGCAGCACATTTGAGTTTCACAATTATATATATATATATGCAGTAATCCCCCTTTGACATGGTCTCCGGTAACGAAAAGCAATCCGGCACAAAATGTTCGTACCAAGCTGTACTGTACGTGCCAAAAGGAACCATGATAAAAATGGAACATACGAGAATTTCTTCCCGAGATTCCACAAGAGTTGGGTTGTTCAAATGGTTATATCAACCACATTTAATTTGAGCCGGTTAAAAGTTGATTTCATTGTGCTTAGCACGTATTAAAAAAAAATAACACACATTCTGATATGGCGCCTTTCCGTCCACTCGTTCGCCCGTCCTTCTTTCGGCAGAGCCGATAAAGCATTTTAAGGTTCCCACTGCGTTTTTGATTCTCCAACCGCAACTTGACTCATACAATGTACAGAGCAAACGGAATGCACATTTTTGTTTTCGAATAGTCAACATTTAAGATTATACAAAATTTGAATTTTGCTTAAAACACAAACGAAAACAATCGGGAAGCGTCGGCGCGACGCTTCCCGTAAACGCATCTTTCCTCGTTTAAGTAGAGTGCCGACGGTTCCCGATTAAAGCGAAAGGTGCAGCATCCTTCATTCTGGAATATAGTTATTTGAGAAGGAAGCCTTATACGGAAAGCGTGGAAAAGGATCATCTGTATGTCGTCAGTGTTTGGTAAAATTGCACGTTAATTATCTACAAATAATGAACCATTTCACTTTCTTAGTTATTAAACGATGACACATCTTCAACATTTATAATTTCGTCTCGCACACAATTGATTAACAAGAAGTGGTTTATAGATTCGCATAAAAAGTCTACAAAATAACGAAAATATTGATGTTTAATGAAATGCTAAGAAACCTGTACATTTTTGGGGTTATACAATTTTGTGTGCACTGCATTTTTTTTGTATACGGGGTCAAGTCGGCAATAAATGAACTCGAAAGAAACATTTAATCGAAATGACAAGATGACTCTCTCTCTCTCTCTCTCTCTCTCTCTCTCTCTCTCTCTCTCTCTCTCTCTCTCTCTCTCTCTCTCTCTCTCTCTCTCTCTCTCTCTCTCTCTCTCTCTCTCTCTCTCTCTCTCTCTCTCTCTCTCTCTCTCTCTCTCTCTCTCTCTCTCTCTCTCTCTCTCTCTCTCTCTCTCTCTCTCTCTCTCTCTCTCTCTCTCTCTCTCTCTCTCTCTCTCTCTCTCTCTCTCTCTCTCTCTCTCTCTCTCTCTCTCTCTCTCTCTCTCTCTCTCTCTCTCTCTCTCTCTCTCTCTCTCTCTCTCTCTCTCTCTCTCTCTCTCTCTCTCTCTCTCTCTCTCTCTCTCAACTGTTTATATACATGTGTGTGTGTGTATGAGTGTGAGAATGAGTGAACGCTTGCACGACAACTTTTCATTCACCTTATTTGTAAAGTACTTCTTTGTGTGCCATCTTGTAATTTTGTTGTATTTTTTTTATGGAAAGGGAATTTGTATAAGTTGTATAACTTGTGCCCAATCCAGTTGCATTATGGCAATAAAATATGTTTAAATAAAATATTGGACGTTCATTACTCCGAGGCCAGGGCCCATATTCATGAAACCATTCTCAAGCACAAGCCTGTTTTTTGTGCTCAAGCCCAATTTCTTCTGGTTATAAATTGTTCAAAATATCATATTTTTGTCAATGAGTTGGAAACAAATTCAAGACTCTTCAACGGAATTCAGTTTTCAATGTTTACAATCGACTTTGACATTTGAAATGATTTAAGTGAGTTACAAGAAAGCGGGTTTGAGCACAGATTGGTTTGGTTTGGTTTATTGCTTACCATCCTATCGACAGTTATGGTCATTTAAGGACGGCCTCCCCTGTGTGCAAGATGCATGTAGTGTATGCGTGTGTGTTTTGGGAGGCTGCGATATGGTCATGTTTGTCTCGTGATAGCGCGGAACTTATGCCGACTTTATAGTGCTACCTCACTGAAACATACTGCCGAAGACACCCAGCAGGACCCCCCACCCGGTCACATTATACTGACAACGGGCGAACCAGTCGTCCCACTCCTAAATTGCTGAGCGTTAAGCAGGAGTAGAAACTGTCATTTTTACAGACTCTGGTATGTCTCGGCCATGGGACAGAACCCGAAGCCTTCCTAACAGGGGCGAACGCTCAACTAAAGGCCAAAAGTGAGGCATTGTCAAGGGAGACATTAGGGAGAAGTAAGTTGTTTAGAAAGAAGAGAAAAGATAAGATCCCAAATTTTGTCGCCTCTTACGATCATGCAATGGGGGCAGCAGGTACAATTCCTACGCCCTATCTGCAGGTACAACCCATGCCTGAGCACGAGAACGGTTTCATGAACATTTGCTGGTTTTAAAGCAACAATAAGGTATAGAGACCAAGTCTTTTGGCGTGGTATGGTATGCATAGACGTAAAGGGACATTTTTGTCGGAGGAAAGCTGGTAGAGTGCCCGAACTCCAATGTGCTAAATACATTGACATTTCTAGTACAGCCGAATCTGTATTAAGCGACCACCCAAGGGAAATGAAAAAAACGGTCGTTTAATAAAAGTACATCGCGCAAGTGTGCTAATTAAAAAAACTAGCATTTATGCAATTAGGCTATAAATATATAAATCATTTTTCTTGGCATCCGGCAAAAATGGTTGAGGCTTAAGATGTACCTACTGAGGGACTTGTTAATTTGTTACATCTATATTTGGACCTAAACTAACGTGTTCAGAGTAATTGTACATGTTTTAGGGGTTTAGATCGACTTTTAATAAAAATTACATATGATCATTAAATTTGGGGTGTCATTTTTTTTACCGAAAGTCGACCTAAAACACGTAAAATGACTCTGAACACCTTAGTTTAGGTCCAAATATAGCTGTAACAAATTCTCAGGTCCCTGTGGACTATAATATCTCACTAGAACTGTAGTTCAGATTGTGTTCGCTGTTCCTTGAGTGCGATGTCCGACATTGTCTGATAAGCTCATCTTCGCTAGCCAAGTGTTCGCTTCGTATATATATACACTCCACTTACAGGGTAAGTTGAGTGTATACCAAGCGAACACTTGGCTAGCGAAGTAGACTGGCTACCATCCCCTAAGTTTTTATGAAGAATTTCTCAGCTGCATTTTACTACTAGCTTATTTTCTCCCCCTAGTTTAGAACTTCACAGACATCCAAGTCATCAAAAAATATTAGAGTTATTTTTTTTTAATTACATGTATTTAATATTCTAGAGACGGTGGTCAGTCTACTAGCGAAGATGCTGATAGCTAGGCAGGTTGGACTACCCAGTAGCCGGCTCTAGGCTCATATATTTATCACCTATTTATAGGTATCTCCGAATTGTCGGTAAACATATATGCATGTGATATTATATAGTGTTTCATCGTCGAATATCAAGGGTTCCTATTTCTGAAGTGTTAAACTAATAGTTGACTCAATTACAGCCTATTGCCGTTTAAAAATCAACATACCGGTAAGCCGAGTCTTAGTCGCATACATAACATTATGTGTTTTATGATTAGTTGTGCAATACGTTTCTTCCAAGTGTTTATTGCATGTTAGTTTTTTTTAATATTATTGTTTGACTCTCTGTTTTATTAAACCTCTGTTCGAAAGTTTTGTTAACTTATTGTTTAAATAATGTACCGATAAAACAATTAGGTCATTGCTATGAATTATATCATTTCCACACATTTGTATATGTTTGTATCAATCTTTACCCAACACTATGGGTAGCGTTGATGTTTGTATTGTCTTACATATACTGTAGGAATTGGATGTTGGTTAAATTAGCCGCGTGCTTGGTGCTTTATTATATCGTATACATTTTATCCGCACATGTCTGCTGGATAACCGAACTACTCGATAGTGAAGCGGACGTAAAACCAATCAATCAATCAATCATCCGCACATGGAAAAATACAAATTCTACGGAATCAAATCGGGATTCGAACCCACGACCTTCGAACTCTGACAGATCCCCCAACACGTCCCCTGACGTCAACATAGCCCAGGGCCCACTTTTATAAAACATCTCAAAGTTAAGGGAAATCTCAAGCAATGTATTGACTATGGGAAATCTTAGACTTGAGGAAATCTCAAGAGTTGAGATGTTTTATACAAGTGGGTCCTGTTACAGTCACATGAGGAAATCCTGATTTCCTATTTGTCTGATAAACTATTTCATTGTACATGTACTTATCACAATTGAATGTATGTGTATGCTTGTTTTCAATAAACATGATTTAGCGTGGGAATTTGGGATAGGTCAAACCCGTCCCTATAAGGTAACATTGTTGAAATGTTAGGAAATACTGGAAGTTAGATAATTTGAAGAGATCAATGTTAAGCCCGAGAAAGTGGTTTACCGCGATAAGGTCGCCACTTTTCTAGTCATTGTTGACATACCTGAGCCTACGGAACAGGTAAAAATCAGTGAGGTACGGCGCACCAGGGGGAGATAAACCATTCTGAAGATGATCGGGCAGATGTTGGGTGACTATAGAGGGGCACGGTTCGGATTAAATAAGGTATGTCAAACTCCTGAGAACATGTCCAATTTTACATTTGATCGCTAGTAATCGTACCACACACATACTATGATTTGATATAGGCCACACCAGGTATGTATATAACGTTGCTTTTTTATTGCGTTGAAGTGCACAGTAACTTTTCTTATGATTCTCTAGAGCTCTTTGAAGTAATGTTTGGCGGACAATCATTCGATACATGGCTTATATTATTTCCTGAGATATTTACACATATAAGTTGTGAAGACTCTTATCCTCTAAACAGGTGTACAATAGAGCGCATACATATCTACATATCACCTGTGTCGGACCACACCTGTTGATCGACTTCTGTTTACTACCTGCACATCAAGGGCGATAACCTAGTATGGATTACGCGGTATTTCATAGATATTAAAAAAATCATTTTTTTTCTTTTTCTGATGTTATTATTACGTACCCGGTATTCAAGAAAATATGATATAAAAGTGAAAACATGTTAATTTAGAGGCCTGAACGTTGCAAAATGAATTATGTAGAGATAATTTGTTATACATAAAAAAGAAAGATTCATAACTTAACACAATTTTAAGACATGAATTGATTTTTTTTTTATCCATAATCTAAAACTTCATTGTTTACATTGAATGCATAGTATATATATATTTCTATTGAAGCTTGACTACATGGCAGTAAACGGAATGAACATGGGTTGAGATCTGGACCTACAAATTACAGAAAATTTCCTACTGAAAACAGAGGAAGCTGACCTGTTACCATGGTGATGGAGAGGTTTGATATTGACGATGACCCGAGGAGTCAGAAGTACCGTGCAGTGACGAAGCGTGTGTTGGTGCTGGGTGTGGTGTGTCTTGTCCTGACTGTAGTGATGGTTGCAGTGGTCGTCTCAGTCATTCTCACTGCAGAAAATGGTACAGTAGATTTCGCTTAATATCACTTTCTCAAACGTGACAATAACCGAAAAGTGACATTAATCGACGTGATATTAAGTGCAATGTACTGTAGTAGTTTTATCAATATAACACTTGTTTTACTCTCGTCTTTGTCCCTTGTGTAGTTTGTAATACAAAAAATAACATTTAAAAAACACAAATGAAAACATGAATTGGTATTGTTCTATATATATTCTGTTCACTGATGCATATTATAACTAATTATGCAAATGACTATATAATGAAATATGATATAAAAATCTCAAAAGAGGTACAGCACTTGAGATATCCTCAGTAACTCATTTAGATGCACCTCGATTAAAAAGAAATTGATGTTACTAATGAATAACCTTTTACGCTTAATATATTATTTTTTTACCAGAAATAATTTTCAGATATTTTTGTTTATTGCAGATACCAAACAACCTGTTACTGCTGCAGCCCTACTGGGGGATCTGACATCCTCATATCTAGACCAGACAAGGCTGGGGTCATTTAGTGTAAAAATGTCACGGAGTACAGAAAGTGTCGTGGGTGGTATGGGGTCACCAGGTGTAATGAGTTCTATTCATGTCAGCTCCAATTCCTATCATATCACAACTTCATTTAATGTACCAGTAACACATCGACCTATGACCTCTTCATCCATTGTCACTCGGTCAATAGACTTAATAGAATCATCAATGGAATCATCGTCAGAATTATTTTCATCAGAGCCATTTGTTTCACCTTTCAGTACCATTGATCCCATGCACTCCCCATCACTTAGTGTGTCCAGTTTAGACTTTGACGCCATGCTCTCTGTATCTATAGACGATACCCACATCTCCATTCCTGTCTCACAGTCTTCTGTGTTTAATCCTAGTTCAGTGTCTTTGTTGCCATCGGAAGTATCAACTTTTGTAACCATGGAAACCAATCAAATGATGTCATCAGGTCACTATCCATTGTCCTCAACCACTGATGTGTTAGGTGTGTCCTCAGTTCCGATGTCCTCAGTGGTAGCAACAGACAGGGATAATGTAACCCCAAGCTTCTACCCAACCTCATTTTCCCCCAGTGATGTTATGACCTCATTTCCAAGGTCAGAGGTCACCTCACTTGGTTACACCACTCAAGAGTCTACAGTACACTCATATTTTCAGACAACAGCATCACAGCATCATGTATCATCTGAATCAACCCTGTCATCAACAATAACAGATATTTCTACAACTAACCTACATTCATCAGAAGCAGACATTTCCTCTAAGTCGGAGGATCACATCATTTCCTCTTCTTCAGCACATTTATCTACAGCATTTGTCTTGTCCTCCTCATTAGATAGTCATTCTTCAACTGTAGATGAGAAAATGAAGGTCACATCATCTTATATTTCTGATTCAATGATGTTACATGATGTTTCTTCTACCTCTCCTGAGTCTGGATCTGTATTACTGAAGAGTTCTAGTCAGCCAGTCATCTCCCCTTCCTCCTATAGACAGCAGGATGTCTCTACACCTCTACTTTCTACCTCGGTGTCCTCACACATGTCTGTGTCTTTGATCTCTTCCCTCTCAACACCATTTCAGTCCTCATTGACCTTTGACCTCATTACAACTACACCCAATGTTCTAGAGTCTGGCCATCTTATTGCCACACTAGTCCCAACCCGTGTCTCTGTGTTAATGTCCTCCTGGGTAAGTGGGAATGATGGCCAGAGTAGCACCCACGTGCAGTCTTCTGTACATCCCACCCTGGTCACGGAGGAGACAACGTCTTTGTACGTCAGTGAGAGTACAGAAACCACAATCACTTCCACACACACAACACCCACAAGTAAGTATCTATGAATAGATAGTCATGTTCTTTTCAAAGGACTTCAAAAGAAAATTTGGCTCATCCAAAAATGAAGTTCCTAAATGGGAGTGGATGTAAATTCATTGGTCTCTTGACTTGATCTTTATATTCATCGAACCCATTAACTCATTCATCCCTGGAGACACATTTGAACTCTTCCAAATGAAAGGTTGGAATAGTTCATTATGAAATTTCAGGGGTGAATGAGTTAAGCCTTTGAACAGTATATGAACTATAAGTATAACTTCACTCATAAGACAGTAATATCATAGTTCAAGAAACCAGCAAACAATACTAAAAGCTATATATACCAGTCGACATCAGAAAAGAATGAAAATTTAGTTCCTGGATGTGTACATTTGCCTTAGGTAACCCATGTCCCACTGGTCAGGCACCTTGTGAGGATGGTAGCTGTCTGTCAGCAGACAAGTTCTGTGATGGGGTGGCTAACTGTCCCGATGCCAGTGATGAAGCCAGGGACTGCAGTATGTATAAAGTTTAGCTTTTTAGCTCTTCCAATTCAGAGGTTGGAATAGTTTATTATACATTTTCAGGGGTGAATGAGTTAATATTCCACACAGTGGTAGCCACAACAATAAGATAGTGGTCACTTATGTTACAGTGCAATCTAAGGTATAACAAGGAAATCTGCCAGAATGATTTTTCAGTTTCAAATAGCCTGGAAAAAAGATGTTACAAATTTTTTCTGTTTCATATGGCCAGGAATTTAAGTGAACAGAAAGCTATATTTTTGTATGTATCAAACATTCTTTTGTTTTCTGGTAATGTAAGCAATTTAAAATATAGAGCAAAGAGATGTCCCCATAGGGTTATATAAGGATACTGCATGATTTTAAAATGTTCACATTGTTTTTTTCTTAATTCGATAATCATACAAATTAAACATGTCTTCAACCCTTACCTAATTAATGAAATATCATCATTTGAATAACCTGTTTGTTTAATTATTGGTACTTATTTTACCAGGTTGTGGGAGTGGTCAGTTTAAGTGTAGCAGTGGTCAGTGTGTGCCCAGTCAGGCCAGGTGTAATGGACACCTGCAGTGTAAAGACAAGACTGATGAATTCAACTGTTCAGGTAACCATGCATACAGAGCAAGTATCTGTTTTAACTCATTCACCCCTAGAGACACATTTTAACTCTTCCAATTCAAAGGTGGGAATAGATCATTCCGAAACTTCAAGAGTGAATGAGTTAATGAATTATTTGTCAAAAACAATACATTCTGATGATTAAGTCTCTACATGACTGGCTCAGATGGACTGAGTGACAGAAAAGATACGGTTGTAATAGAGTGTCTGGGTAAATGTACTGTTTTTCTTTTTTAGAAAAGTTCATGTAGCACAACCAGGTCAGTGTGTTTATGTGTGACCTTTTGATGATTACTAATGTATATACTCTTCATCAGACAAATCAACGTTACACATGTGTGAAATGAGGAATTAAACCAACAAATTGATGTGTCTATGCTTGGTTTAATACCTGGCCATAATGTACGAGAGTCTATGAGTCCCCTCATCTCGATTCAGAACTGGCCTTCTGTACGGATGGTTTCCTTTATCAACTGGATATGCCACAGTGGGTCAGTTCTGATTTGAGATTTTTTCATTGCCAACTCCTACATACTTTACACTTATGTGCATATGCTTCAATGTGACATGTCTGACGAATGTGACAGAGTACATGTAACCCGTCCTGGAAATGTCACACCATACACACTTACTGGTTGTGCTACATGGACTTTTCTGCAATCCATAAATACCAACCTGATGAAAATGTTTAGAAATAACCATACTGCAGTTACAAAATGTCTTTAGGTTACCTCATCATTTAAACAGTTCTAAGAAACTTTAGTGTCTGTTATAGGTAACTGAACTGTTGTTTTGTGGTTTCTGGGTGTCTAGGTAACCATATTGATATTGTTGTTGCAGGGTGTTTTGGTTTCCAGTGTGCTTCAGGGTTGTGTCTTTGGACGCATTCGAGTCGATGTGATCAGGTGATTGACTGCGATGACCTCAGTGATGAACTCGGATGCCGTAAGTTTATTGTCAGCATGCTATTATATCACACAGGTATACAAGGAAAAGTTAATGTCCTATTATTGTGACTGACATCCTTCTTGTCCAGCTAGACTGTATTAGTATATCATGCATACTTGGGGTCATCCTCGATATCCAGGGGTTACGCTCACTTTCGCTCTCTGCATCCCTGGAATAGGTCATAGCAAAATTGAAGGCACAACGATAGCTGTTTGGTTGGTCTCGGGTAAAAATAAACTGACCAATCGCCAGGCTGATACCTGTACTTTGAAGATTACAAAGGAGCGACACCTGACTTCAAAACCTGTCAATCATTACTGTTACGCGACTGCAAGTTTTTTTTATGTTTATCAAAGGATGGAACTGGTAGTCTTCTTGTTTCGTCAACAAGGTGGCGCACACTGAGCCTTCAATTTTGCTATGACATATTCCAGGGGAAACTCTGGCTTTCCTCCACCACCAAAACCAGGCACTTCCTTAAATGACCATAGCTGTTAATAGGACGTAAAACCCAAACAAACCAAATTGTCATTTGTGTTTTATACACTTCATTTGAACTCTTCTGTTATAGCCTTCAGACCTGGCTTCAAGAGATGTACCAACGGTATCTTTATCCTTGCCTCTGATTGGTGTGATGGTGTGGACGATTGCTATGACAACAGTGATGAGACACAGTGTGGTGAGATATCTGCTCCGGTATTTTCTTCAGATAATGGAGCTCATGTTCTGAATTAAGTACAACCACTTGTTAAAAAATCTTAATAAAATATTTAACAATATCAAATTTTGGAAGGGGAAGCTAAATGGCAGAATCTATTATATGAAACTTTAATCTTAGATTTTGAAAATGAACTGACTACTGTATAGCGGTTATATTTCGTATTTTTTTTTATTTCGCTGTATTTGTGCGTTGATTAATATCCGCCAATTCTAAACACCAGCGAAATTATCAAAAACGTTTACCGCTTTTACAGACCTTATCAAATGTTAAATACCCATAACCCAACGCTGTTATGCAAGCTTAAATGAACTCAAATCAGATTAATTATCACCGGACAACTGAGAAGTTCATGTAAAAACAACACTTACATATAAGTGGCCACAACTTATTTATGTGTACAAAGTAGGTGATTAATTGATTTTACTCCTTTAAAGGTACATACACATTTGATTTTCTTTCGAGTTTACCTGTATTTCAAGATTTAACCCTTAAGTGATGACACTCAACTTTGCACAACACATGGGATTATTTCGGGTGCACAGCGAAATTTAACCCTTGCGAATCTGTACCGTATACGAAACCGCAAAATATTGACCCCTGCGAAATTAAAGCGCTATACAGTATAATACATATACTCTCTATGATAGTATGCGACCCCCATACAGAAGTGGCATGCCAGGACGGTGGCTGTATACGACTGGAGTGGGTCTGTGATGGAGTCTGGGACTGTACTAATGGGACAGATGAGGAGGACTGTGGTAAGTACCATCAGCAGAGATAGAATATATAGTGGTGGTTCTTAACATTTTATACCACTAATGAACTGCCGCTTGGAGACTACTTCATTGGGACAGACAAGAACGTCTGTTAGAATAAAGTGAAGTATAGTTGTGGTTCTTAACTGACAGTATCATGGATGTATAGTGGGTCAGGGATGTTTTCAGATGGACAACGTTATCTGTTGTATGTACATTTATAGTTAAGTACCACCAGCAGGTATGTAACAGGAAAGAGACTAGTGTGCTTCCACCAGGGATTGAACCCTCGATCTCCAGGTTCCTAGAGGGCTTCATGCAATATGGATGTAACTGATTTGCATTCATACCGGCATGAAAATTAAAACAAAGTCTGCATCAGTCATCAAACTTTACAGTCCTGCAGCTCCTGGTACCAAATATGTATTGTACATAGACAGTTGAAGTTTATACACACATGTTTAACTTTTTTCGTAAGTTTTCTCAATTTACACATTATTTTTTCAATATTAATACTAAGCTATGAAATGTGTGTAATATTCTGCAGACCGGTGCAACAGTACAGAGTTTGTGTGCCCTGACTACCAGTGTGTTGCTATGGATACGGTCTGCGATGGTCACCATGACTGTTCTGGAGGAGCAGATGAACTCAACTGTTGTAAGTAAAGGTCAAGGTCAGATAACACAAATGTTGTGCATTTATAACATGTATCTATCAGGTCAGGTGATCTCTGCTATGTCTCTTTTTGTACAACGTATGAAACTTTAATGATGTACTGTGTGACATTCAGTATTTGTGGTTGTCAACAGTGAATATTTTCACAGCAAAATAATTACTCTAATTACATTTAACCAGCTCAAACCAAGACAGTTTGTGCTGCAAATACATTAATTAAAACATAACATGAGGCTAGATGTTAACAACTAATGTTTCATGTTTTAAAGTACAGTATAACACGTGTGACTTCTGTAGAAATATCAGGCACTTCAAGACAGGTTATATCTCAAGTTGTATAGCTTCCATTGTATTTATCTTAATGTAAAATTATAGTGTTTCAGTTTCCATGTAGTTTACACTGTATGTTTCTGAATATAGAATAGTGTATCAAACTGCTGTTTCAGTTTACATTGCCAGTGATGACCAGTTTAATTTAAGCTTGAGTACTGGTCAGCTGTTGGTCCAGCACTCAGGCCAGATCCAGCCAATCTGTAGCAGCCACTGGACACAGCAGTTGAGTCACCACATGTGCCGACACCTTGGACATGAGTGAGTTCCAGGAATGTTTAGAGATTAAAAAAGATAATCATGTTAGTAGCACCATAGTTGATTTATGTACAAGCACTTAGGTGTATTACATAAGGTGGCATATAGCCTTAAATACAGTGAGACCATGATGAGAGTTTGAGTACAGTACACAGTTGGCCCTGATACACTGTAGCACAAAATGACAAATACTTGCTCTTTGAAAGTTTGAAAAGCTCTTATAAATAGTTTGTTGATCTCCAGTATTTGTTTGAATGAATCAGAATTTGAAAATGCAAATTTACATGATGTCTAACTTATTGATTTGAAATTGTTGGGTAAGAAGTGTTAATTGACTCGAAGTGTTTAATGTCATGTTGAATTTACAGGTTCATGTCATGATGAACATCACTTTGCTGCAATAAAACACTGTATACTGAATGTTACAATGTATTATAGACATTTCTGATTATATATGTTTCAGATAAATGATCACATTATTTTACAGAAAGTCTATCCAGACGGTTTACACACCAGAGATGTCATCACCTCAGAACTCTTATTTTGAACTGAAGTCAGATGTTTTGATGTCAGGAACTTCAGAAATTCTTAGTAATATTGTAAATGTGTAAGTGATTTCAAAATTTAAGCAGTTTCTTACAAATCTGATGTTTCCTATGTGCATGAATGATCAGAAGTTTTAGATAATAATTAATGTGATATTTATTTGCATGGACTATAATTTGTTTTGTTTTGTTTATATATTTGCTTACATATTAAAAAAATACAATTAATATATAATGAACTTTAATTAATAAGTTATATAGAAATATGCTATTTTTAATGCATAAATGATTAATCTCTTTTGACAGGACAACGTGTTCTAACGGCAGCGTAGTCAACATTTCCTGTTCAAAGAAAGGTAATTATTACTTAATTGTTCACCTTATATTTCATAGAGGTAGCACTTCTTTATCAGTCACAGAAGTATAACATATCTCAAGCTCTATACAAGTTTAAATCTGTCAAAGACACAAACATATCATATATTGTTGCTTGGAATTCAGAAAAAGTGCAAATCAATGTTATGTATTATCAATGATTTTTTTCCCTTCTGTTTCCATTGTATTGAATAATTCATACAGCAAATAAATGGAAATGTTCCTGTATATGTTTTCATGCTTTCTGGCTGATCCTTGATATCATTTTTTTCGTGGTTGACATGAACATTAACGCACATTGTTGTACTCTGTAGAGTGTGGAAAAAGGTCAGGGGATTTTCTCACTGCTTACATAGCGGGTGGAGAGTTATCTCCCCTGGGGAAGTGGCCGTGGGTGGTGTCTCTGACATACCTGGGGGAGCCACTGTGTGCTGCTGCCATAGTAACCAGCCAATGGCTAGTAACTGCTGGACATTGTGTGGCACTGTGAGTAACATGATGTGTTTGAACTTAATTGAAATAGTGGCTCACAGTCAGCCTGTAATAATCCAGTAAAACTCATGCTATTTGTATTTATCAAAATAATCTGAAAGCTGCGTATTTAAAAATGTGCGAGATTGATTTTTAACTATGATTCCACTCAATTGTAGTTTTGTAGAGTAAAACTTACACTTTTGCAGGCCAGGAGTGCACGATTACATTCAGACACCATTTTATGTCCAAGCTTCTGCTGGATCTGTCAAACGCTCTACTGACCAGAAATCTCGGAGTAACATGGTTGCTGCTGACAGAATTGTACAGCATCCAAACTTTACTTACACTGGACTCGGCTCAATCCTCTGGGATCTAGCCTTGGTCCACCTAGAACAACCTCTGACCTTCACAGAGGTCATTCAGCCAATTTGTCTCCCCCTGGATGAGAATAGTAACCATGACAACTGCTACCTGGCAGGGTGGGGATTCTTGGACAATGATGGAGGTATGTAATGTTAAACATTATCAATATATGGTGGTAAAACTAGTATACAGAATCATTCTTTGGTAAATGTAGATTGGGGTCAAATGGTTCTAGTGAATCAAGTATCTTTCTGCTTTGTTGGTACAGGTCAGTTACCCCAGTACCTGAGGGAGGCCAAAGTCCAGGTTTGGGATGACGAGACATGTCGGCGGGACACAGTTCCCCTGGAAACCAGCGTCAACACCAACATCACCCTGTGTGCTGGTTACACTGGTGGGATCCTGTCTGGCTGTCAGGTACATTGGGCATTTCAACCAGACAATGATGTCTCTTGAATATATATATTTTAGGAATCTGATATTCGTTTTAAGTCCCTCTTTAAGCAAACACCAATTTCTTAAAAAAAATCATCAGGGTTTTGAAAAAAAAATAAAAAATGAGCATGAGTTTGCGTTACCTATATGCAATATGTTCAAATCATTAGGGTGTACATGAAAATCCAATTAACTCATTCACTCCTGATATTTCATAATGAACTATTCCAACCTTTGAATGGGAAGAGTTCAAATGTGTTTTCAGGGGTGAATGAGTTAAAAGTCTCTTCAACGATTTCATCAATTTGACAGAATGACATGAATTCATTACATGGACAGATTATGCAGTGACAAAAAAACAACAACAAATCTTTATATCAATATTAAATCCTGTATAAAATAAATATATCCATGTCATGTTTATTATTTCACTTCCAGGGTGACAGTGGCGGCCCCTTGATGTGTGAGGCCACCAGAGGGCGCTGGTTTCTAGCTGGTGTGTTAAGTAGCGGCTCGGCCAACTGTGCAGTTGCTACTACTCATGCCGACAGGTACACTCGAGTGTCGGCTCTGAGTGAGTGGATTTCTAATATAACAGGGACACTCTGAAGTCAAGCATAGGAGAGTTATCTCTGATTAAGATTCCTGACATCATAGCAATATTGTTAAGCCTCTAGTAGGTATGAGCATCAGCTGGGGGGATGGATTTCTGACATCACAGGAACAACTTAAAGTTTGGTATACAGTTTTTGTACATCAGCTTTGAGGGATTACATTTTTGACTTCGCAGAAATATTTTGAAACCATGCAGGTTTATACATATCATTTGACTCCCAGGGAGACAGTGGCGCCCCCTGGATGTGTTAGGCCACCATGCAGAAGGCACTGGTTTCTATCCGGTGTGCTTAGTAGCAGCTAAGCCAACTGTGCAGTTGTCAGGCATACACGACATCAAAATGTTAAGTTTCAACCATAATGGAAAGTAGTTAATATCTGACATAACGTTATATAGGCGCTTCATATAAAGATTAGTCCCAAAGAATACAGCTGAGTAGGCTGGAACATTTTGACTCGCAATTTGCAATCAGCAATGTGACTGCTATGTATTTATTATGTGATTTTTGTACAAGATTTTGTAGCTTGGATATGTATCATAAATTGTGCCAAGGTCAAATTATTTTCCGACTATTTATTATCATTGCAGACAGCAAGATCTGAGCAATATCATGACTTTTTGTTATTTTTCTACGTTATATATGTACAATGAATAAAATTGACATATTTGTATACACATAATATATATATGTACTGTTTTTATATTTCAGTAAATAAATTAATGAAAAACTGCTTGTTTTGTGTATTTTTAGTTTGTTTGGGTAACACACAGTACCAGTTCGAAAACAAACATAGGCATTTTCTTGTTAGGGCACAACACTCCGTAGCTTAACAAATATTTCATGCTTCTCCATACTTATATGTCTAGTATCTTATTATATGGTAAAATAATTAATAGATAACTGCTCCTTAAAATTACCCTCATGTTGTTAATCAAATGTTAGGGGCATGGCAAGACACATCCCCTGATAACAAATTTAGCACACTGGTAAGAATGTCCCCGATATTCCACATATTACTACAGTAAAACCCCAAGTAAAATGGGCTGAAAATACTGAAAAAAACTTCTACTCATATATATTTTGCGCATCGATTTTTTCCCTTAAAAATGATGCCCAAAATGTGTGGAAAATTGACCTCCGACACGAAACTTTGACACAAATATCTACTTTCTCAAATCATTTATTAATTAAATGTAGTAATTGTTTATAAAATTTCTATACATATTTTTAAATATGATTTTTGTCATCCACGGTCCATTTCAATAGCGAGACAAAAGCTACACAGAAAATTGTAATATTTTTAACTCTGCATTTAGAGCATCTGTTTACTTGAATATTGAGTATATTTTATGCATAATTTAAAACAAACCAATAACCTGAGACACCTCAAAGTCATCACAAAAGCTGATTAATTGTGATCTTTATCAAACCGGTCAACTTCAATAAAATGCATCCCATAATACTTATCAAATTGTTGTATTTATTATATAGGTCATCTTATAAAAAGTGACCACAAATATATATAGCTTGCATACAATGACAAATTTTATTAAGTTTCCAGTTAATGCGCTATTCTATAGGTTCAATTTTACCTGTCCTTCACAACCAACCAATCAACAAATGTTTTGATTCACAACCAACCAATCAACAAATGTTTTGATTCACAACCAACCAATCAACATATGTTTTAATTCACAACCAACCAATCAACAAATGTTTTGATTCACAACCAACCAATCAACAATTTGTTTACTTTCAATAACATGGTCATTTCAAAGAGCCAACTTCTATGATGTTGTTTACAAAAACCATCATGTAAACAATTATAAAATAATATTCCACTTTAAACATTTTAAGATAACATAGCACTTAAATATATCACAAACAAGTCTAATAAATAGATGTGTATAGAGTTTTGTAACCTCAAGGCTTCTCTACCATATCCCAGTGTAACTTGTGGATGATTTTACGTAACTGTCACTAAATTACATTTTTCCAATACACTTGCAATGTCTTGAAATTCAAAAAGAATTCAGAAATCCTCAACCTCAAGTTTAAATTCTTTGACACTATAAAATGCAAGGTAGAATATTTCAAGAAATCAATAATTCTCCTATTCAAACATGAACAAAAGGCCAAACCTGTGAATATAATGATGTGAAATCTTATTTTATAATGCAACCACTCTGCCATCCCTCGAGGTACTGCCATGTAGGATTAAACACTCATAGGTGATATGACACAGTATGCAAGATATGCCCGAAAAAAAGGATAGACTGATGGAGTGAAATATGCAAAACCTTTATGCCACCTTCCAACCCCCTTCCGCCCGAAGTATTGGTGGGTGAATAATCAGCCATTGTATTGTATCTCAAAATGAAATGTGATGTTACTATGAAAAAATGCTAAAATGGTAAAATTTTGCATATTCATTTTTCAAGGTGAGATGGACCTTATTTTGTAAATTATAATTAATAAAAACAGCCTTAATATTGCAGATCACTGGTGAAATGTTAAGTTGCTCATTTTAACCTTGTCCTTTATTCAAATATCTATACAAATTTATCATACACATACTATTTTAAAGAAACCAAGAATTGGAGCATCAATAACGAAAGAGTAATATAAACAATTTCACCACGAATAAGCAGTATTGTTATACCCCTGTGAAACAGTTGATAGACAATCTCTGCTCTGAATAGGTTTCAAGAATAGAATTTTCCCATAAAGTGTTCAAACAAAAGAATTTAAACTGCACTACCAAACTTTTTAAGGTCTACTTTTTAGCAGCTGTTGCCCTGTAGCCTGGAGAACATTAGACCGACTGTCTTTGCAGACTTTTTGTAGCTTGAACATTTGAATGGAATAGTGGTAAAAAATGATGTCAGCAACTATTTGACAGCTGTTTTTGCAGGAAAAAATGTAACAAAACCAAACACTGTTTTATGTTAATTTGAACAATTACCTGAACTAACTTGACGACGTTTGAATAGGAGAACAACAAAACAGTTGTTGACTGGTTTTGGGAACAAATATTTTGTTGGGCTTCATCCAAACACATTGTACAGGGTAACTCTCGCCCCATCAAATATTCACCCTTCACTGATAAAATCCATGTTCACCCAGGGCTAGTTTCTCCCTTCAGATGTAATTACTATAAATGGTATGCTGAGCACTCAATATTCACTGTCATGATTTTGCCCTCATTATGGAGGACAAAAAAGGCAAACGATAAACTGCAGAAAAATTTCCCGATAAACAGCAGTTTGATCTTTAAGGCTTCAATAAAACACTGGATACCCTCAAACCCTGTAAATAAATGAATTTTTGTCTTCACATTTAATGACACAAAACTATGGAAACAATGAAGGAATATATTACACTGTAAACACCTAAAACAGTCATTCATTCATGGGATTTCATTTACTGATATGTATTAGTATATAAATTGGAATTCATTTTGAGTTTCCAGTCTTGGTGAAATACAAGATTATGTATCCACATTATGCATTTCAAATAAAAGCACTGATTCACTTTCATTTTCCAAGTATATTGCACCATGACCCAGATAATAAAATGCTTCCATGTTCACAATTTCCCTCACGTAAATATTCCAATGGGATATATGTCAGCTCACTCGTTACATATTAGGTACTCGAGTCATCTCTAATTAACCTTAAGTAACAGTAAGCTATACTCCTCATCTGTCTGAAGTTGTTGAGTCTGTGAATCCTCCATGTTCCTCTCTGGAGTCATATTGATACACTGTATTGTCAAAACCCAGGCCCGGCCCTGGGGCACTCGTCTGTTTCCTTCTCCACAGAATAACGCCTACGCCCGCGAGGACCACGACAGCCAAGCAACCAATCACAATCCCAGCTATTCCGCCTCCTCCCATACCACTACTTCTGTTGGAGGCTCCTATAGTACAAATAATTGGGTAACAGTAATTTGAAAAACATATACACATGCCCCTGCTTTTGTTTTCATTTCATGGAAATGGGAACTAAATGTAAAATCTAATCAAAGAAATAGAGCATAACACAAAGGCTAATCAGGGTCAGTGGAGCAGAAAAAGTAGGTCACAGTGACCTAGGCTTATATATTTGTGTAGTTTACACATTTGAAATTTCATAACTTTGTGTACTGAGGTAACATTCTCTTTCTTGTAAGTACAGTACTGAATTTTAGCATTAGATAACTTAAACAGTAAACGAGGTAAACAAAGAGTTACCTACCCTGTTTCTGTGTTACACCCGGCCCATAGCTGCCGGTGGGTACTGGAGTGAACCTGGGTCGGGTTGGGTTCGTATTGGCCGCTGGGTTAGAGGACATATGAACGGGTGGGTTTATCTGAGGCCGGGGGGTGGACCTGTGAACGATGACCTTGGGTGTACTGTGACCTTGTTGGCTTGGTGTTGGAGTCGGTGCCTTAGTAGGACTAGCCAGAGATGTGTTCGGTGCTCCAGATGGAATGGTGACAATGTTGTGGTCTGCAACTGAGGACAGAAGAACACACAAATATAAACTGTCAAGTCTTTGAAATAACCAGAGGAATCTTGGCCCCCACCATCACACCATCTTCATAAATTCTATGTAAGATTGATCTTCCTCTTCGCTTACTTCCCCTGTTGGACTGAGTCATGTAAACAATACATGCACCTTGCAGTAGTTTTTGATCAAAGCTTAATTCTTACTGAAGAACGTTTGAGGAAATTAGGAATTCCATCACTAGAATACAGACGGGAAAGAGCGGACATGGTGAACCTGTACGAACTTTGTAACGGTCTGGTGGATGCCAATGTGTATGGAAGGAACACACAGGCAACTTTAGCCCCGCATGCTAAAGAGCAGGAGGTACAGACCGGTAGTGTGTACCAGTTACACCAGTAGATGCGTCAATAGCAGTCGTAGACTAATGGTATGACGTCGACAACGGTGAGTTAACTGCTGTGTATGACATTGTTCTTTCAAAGTGAGGTTGTTTTTTGCCTATGTTTACAAGCACAGTAGATAATGAGTAACAAGGGGAACTTAAATTTAAGATCAGTCAAGTGTTTCTTGGGAAATTCAAGATGGCTGTCTGGTATCCATTCTGTTCTAAAAATCATTATGCTTAAGAAGGGACAATTGGAAATCTTCAGGTGAAATTTGAGAAAAATCCTTCCAGTACTTTCTTAGAAATAGTGCTAACAATCTTTAACTCTCAAAAGTCAAGATTGTCACCTACTTGTTATCTTGATATTTTCCCAATCAGTCACAAAATTTGCATAGATAAAGATCACAGGGAATTTACATATGAAGTTTGAGAAAGATCCCACAACGCTTTCTCAGAAATAGCGCTAACATGAATGGTTTAAAGACTGATGGACATTGGACCTCGATGGAACGGTGATTTGAAAGGCATCTTGGGCTAAGATTCTGTAACGTCCCAACCTTGACTTACGCCTCAGTTGGGATTATGTTACAGAATCTTAGCCCTCGACTGAGATACCCCGATCTCAGTAGAGTTCAACTGTCTACAATGACAAAATGTGTACTACACCAACCTGTTACAGCTATTACCTGTCTATAACAACCACCTCTCTATAGCAACCACCCGTCTAGCAGCAACATCTAGTGACTGACTATCAATATCAACCACCATATATAACAACTGTACAATGTTTATTTTAAAACAACATTGAGACTTTACAAATTTTATTTTCACATGACATTACAACGGTGCAATATTCAGTTTAACACATAACATCAGCACTGTATTTAACAGGGATCATTATTTTTTCAACGCCTCCACTAGGAGTCGAACCTGGAACCTCTGGCTTACTAGTCTTACACTCTACCGAATAAGTTAAATAGAAATTCTCCCTAGCCGAGACGGTAGGAAGCGACTAGTATTTTACCAGGGTGACATGAACATAATTGATTTATCATTTTCACACAACACTGAATGTTCTCACCTTTGTTTTTCTGACAGACATATCCACGTTTCAAACCACAATCAAGATCATCCCACTTTCCATTCCAAGCTTGCATGACAACACAGTCCTCCACGTTCCCCTGTCCATCTCGACCTGATGGCTCCCCTTTCTCCCAGTAAACAAATGGTATAGGGGAATTGTCAGCCCACTGGAACCCAGCTAGAACGGAAAATCATTCCATTAAGTTTTTGTCTCCTGATCATTTGTCCTTCACAAAAATTTTAAAGTAACTTGACAAAATATACACTGAAGAAAACAAACTTTAACTTTTATATACGTATACGTTTACCATACAACTTAACAAAACCCACATGAAGCTTGAAACAACCAATCAAAACTCACATGTAGCTTATTTGTGTAGCTCGAAACAACCAATCAAAACTCACATGAAGCATATTTATGTAGCCCGATCCAGAAAGCATCAATCTGTGTTGTAATGGTCCCGACTAAGGTTTTCAGTTTGATGATGTCTCTGATGCCGCTGATGGATACGAGGGTGGCTTGTTGTCTGCTGCAAGACAGCGTAGCATCCAGGAAGGTCTTGGTGTCCATTAACTTAAATAAGTAACAATGTGTCCCATTTACCTCCGAAAGCCAATTTGCGTCAGGACACTGGGCATTTGGAGGTGGAGGAGTTACAGGCGGATTAGCTGTAGGAAAAAAAGATTCATAAATGGTATAACTGTATTCATTTAAGTTTTACTATATCAAAGATATGGGGATTCCACGCCCCCTGATAAAATTGTAACCAGAATCCAAGTTTTGCGAGATTTTAAGGAACTGCAACAAATGGAATGGGCGCCCCGCCCCCATTTCATGATGATGACTTCTGTGAAACATCAAGTTTATTCCAATGAAATAGTTTCCTGTTCTAATAAAAGCACATACACATATGAAGTTGTATGGCCCTAAGTGCAGTACTTAAAGGGGCTGGTCGGGGAAAAAATGTCATATTTGCTAAAATGGCATACACATGTTTAACCGTTATATATAACAACATATACCCTAGGTAGGAACACTACACTTGCATCATACATGACCTTTGAAAATAATTATTTACGTATAGTATTGTTGTCTTGTCCGCTAGTTGAGTCCGACATGGCACATGACGGCGTGCTATCGTTGTTATCTTCACAGCCTCACTTTCGAAACAACCACGTGACATATATAAATAGATCTGCGCTAAATTTACGTGGGGCTTCCCCGAGATTTCAGTGGGCAAAACTGGACATTGCAAGCAGAACTCGACCATCATATTGCCGTGGTATAACTTTTGGAAGGCCAAAGAACGCATTTAGACCCATTTATTTTGTATTTCTCCCCGACCAACCCCTTTAATCCTAGCTGACTTAAATACAGAAACAAACCTACAGATCAGGCGACCGTTTCCCAGGGTGTAACCTTACACTCTGTTTGTGAAACGGTACCTATAGGGTTACACTATGTGTCCTGTACCACTTTGTGGTAAGGCATATAACAATTTCACCTTTCTATTCTTCATTAAATTTTTAGGACCATTATGACCATTAGGACCATTATGACCTACCTGTACTGAGTTTGCAGACAAATGGGAGTTGGAAAGTACAGGGCATGACGGCCCAACCCCCGGTCAGACTGGACGACACGCACTGTTGACTGCCTGTGGCCACAGCTGGCTGGGACTGAGCCCAGTTGGTGTAGAGTACTGGCCACTTGCTGTCTATCCATGTGTATGTTCCGTTACCCTGGCAACGATCGTAAACGATAGCAACGTCATAGATACATGATAAATGTGGTTCTAGAAAACCATTCATACGACAGAAATATGTCCTATTAGAAACACCTTTTGGACTATGTTATGTCAGATAGATATAATTACATTATATTTTATAAATTACGATATGTTCTAGTTTATACAGGTATTATTCAGTCTACACTGAATAGAAATGTCTTACAAAGCCCTAGTACACTAAAACAGGCTCAGTATAAACATGCTTATTGACAATTCATACATAAAAAACATAACTGAAAAGGTCTTTTCTTTATTTTCATGAGTCCAAATATTTTGGTTCTATCAATTCGAAGGATTTACTTTTCAGATTTTAAAAGTACACATTAAGTTTTTTGACACGCCTGAGTTCTTTCTGTTGTAGCATGACTTTAATCAAACAAGATTTAAAGCTGACAATGCAAGTAAAAAAGCTTTCAATTGAGATTTTAAAAAAAGTTTATTTTTTTCTGGTTTTGAGATCTTCCCCAGTGACAATCTCTTCCGGCTGTCGGACTAAAGGAAGCGTCGACATTTTAGAATGTACTTGCTTGGTAACGAGAATGTGTCTCGCTGGGTATAACAAGCCCTTTTCCTGTCAAACCGGTTATCATTTGTTCAACGTGTGTGCAAAGTGATACTACTTTACCATAAACATATATGTGGAACACTTTCACAATTATTTACCAACATTTTGTTTCATGCGACGAACACTAATGCCTACTTTTTAGATATCCAACTATAGTTATAACCTCCTGTGTGAAAACAAACTAATTCCCATTATTTTCATGAGAACAGTTCAATTTAACATTGTTGACTACACACCTTGAGTGTCACATTTTGCACGTGTTTTGTTAGTAAAGCGTCTACATGACGAAGACTAACAGTTCATAATAAAGTTTTTGTGTGTTGGTTCAGTACTAGTTCTATACATGTGAAAGACCGATGACATACATGGGATTTATAGAAATATTTTCAGTAATATACCTTTTATTTTGAATACACAATTTTCAAGAATGTGCCATATGTAACAACAAGCTTGGCAGTGTTTCAAAGTATTCAGGTGAGTGGGTTTGATTTTTGATAACGGTTGCCGATCAGGGTGTGCGGTGCATTGAATCTCAAGACGGTCAGTTGTAGAATGATAACCGGTTTGACAGGTAATGCGCTTTTTATACATAACCAGCGAGACCCATACTCGTTTCCAAGCAAGGACAAACTAAAATGTCGGCACTTCCTTAGAAACGATAGTCGAAAGAGATGAGGAAGATCTCAAAACCAGAAAAAAAAGGAAAAAAAAGAACATTTTTTTTAATCTTAATTGAAAGCTTTTTAACTTACACTGACAGATTTAAACAACAGATTAGATAGGTAGGTAAGTAATCATTATTTGTGTTAAACTAATAAATCTTTGTGTTCATTTTTGTTTATTGTGTTGGTTGTGTTTTGATGAGGTCAAAATTTATTATGCATTTTTGTTCATTTTCATTTGATATAATTTTTCTGCTAAAAAAATGCTACGGTGAACATTATGAAAATTAGATGGATGAGAAAATATCCATCTTAACAGTAAAATACTAGAATAAAACTATACCTACAACAGTCTAATTTCAGTGGTTCCCTAGGGTTCATTATTAACACTTAGATTACCAGTCATCAAAAAGGTATTGTTTAAAGCACACATAATTATCTTAACTCATTCACCCCTGAAGACACATTTGAACTCTTCCAATTCAAAGGTTGGAATAGTTCATTATGACATTTCAGGGGTGAATGTGTTAATTAGCATCCCAAATGATAAGAAAAGTTTTGATATTGGTACAGACTGAGGTATTGTAAGTATTATGTACCTGAGTGCTGTGGAGTCCGATCCAGACACCTGACTTGGTGATTATGGAGGGGTCGTTAATGAGCAGCAAGAAGAAGTCCTGTTCAAACCTGTTAGTGAGGGTGGCCAGGAAGACACTTCTGCCCTTGCTCTGACAGAACGCGTTGGCGTTGGCCCAGCTCATTTTGGTAGGGACGTACATGAAGCAGTCCGACATGAAGGCTTTAAAGCCGGGGTGTATTAGACAGCTGTTGGGCATCGGTTCTGGTGTTATAATGCTGGTCACTACACAATATACATAGACACTTTATAATGATAAGACAAATCTGTTTTATACCACAATGATCAAAATCCACAATAAACATAATCACAGTGAGGAACATGCTTTGATATATAAATCATAATTACGAAAAAGCTTGAATGGTCTATACATATATATATACTATGTGAGCTGAAATGAATTTTCACTTGATAGCTACATGTATACGTACTTATTGTAAAAATTCAACCTTGTAACCTTGTGTCTTTTGAAATAAAAGGCCACGAGTGCCTGTATCATGCACTCACCTAGTTAATGAAGCAACCTAGGGTAAAACTTTCTCATTAAATCAAATTCAGCGTTTATTACAAAATATTGACTCTGTCTTTCAGCAACACCCCTCCCTCATTGGGTCCCTTCTTTCTGCCCCCAGATATTGAGTGACATCCAGAGAAAAGTTTTTGCTGGTCTAAGTATACTTACATTTCTTTGTTTCACAGATGAAGGGGTTTTTGGTATTACAACTGTAGTCGTCCCAGAGTCCAGCATTGTGTTGGCGGCCATATAGCCGTGTACACATCGACTATATATACACAACACAAACTTTCTATTACCAAATTATATACAGCTGTATCCTATTAATTTTGGGTGAATTAGATCACTCGTAAAGGTATTTTCACATGTAAAGTGTAATAGGACAATCGTTCGGTGTATTAAATGTAAGTTTAAACTACAATGTACTGAAAAAGTAGAAAAAAAATTGAGTTGTGGAAATGTTCATGCAAATATATATAAATCAATCATATGGATTATAAATATATAGATTTCAGAATTATTGCTGATGCGATAATTTTCACACTGATCACGATCAACTTACAGTCACAACACGAACATTTCCTAACACAAGAATTTTCTCTTTTTAAAATAATCATTAAAATAATTAAATATATTTTACTTGTGAGTGAACTAGACTATCAAAGATATTTTACAGAGATGGAGCTCTTCGAACAGGAGATAGATATATCATGTGCAGGCAGGCAATCGGTGACAGCATCAAATATGCATATGATCCAAGATTTTCAGAAGCACTGCATGTTCACTGTGTAAAGTTGAAATGATATTTAAATAGTTACTAAAGCTTGATGTACCAGACAATACGTTACTACTGACCGAACTTGTGTGACCGTTTGGTTCTCCCCTGTCCCAGTTAGAGTAGTTTAGGTCAGTGTTGTCAATCCAACGAATATTACCATGGAAAAAATACAGACCAATCCAGGGGCTTATTCCTCCCCGGTCGCCTAGTAAAGTCGTCACAAAGGCTGTGGAGATCAAAATTATAGCAATGGTAATGTTATTCATACACAACCACACACATATATATATATATATATATAGATCTTAGCCAATCACAGGTCACCATGACCATTTTGCATTTGCATGGGCCCACCCACCCCCCTCAGAGGGATCACTGCACTTATTAATATACACAATAAACTCCACAAGCCAATGGATGCTCCAAGCAAAATTAGGTTAAAGTGCTTTCACACGAACTGACGGGTAGGCTTCTATAATTATCTACAGCTAGATATTTCCCTTATTGGGGCCAACCTTGTTGCCCTAAATGAGGGTCATGGCATTCACCTATACAACACTGAACCCACATGCCCTTGGAAAACAACAAATATTCAGCATCCTTGCAGCGGACCAGGGCTAATAGTCTTTTTAAGACAAAAGGCCCAGAGGGCCTGTATCGCTCATCTGAATATTTAAGCAGTCATAGCAAATTATTATCATTAAATATTATATTGCACTATAAATATTCCCCTTGCAATCTTTTTTAGCTCCATCTGTTGAAACTAACCAAATATTATTATAAGATTCTATGCATTTTGGTTCTTCTTCAGAACTTACTTGACATATTTTCCCTTGTGACCTTGTAAGTAGGTCAATGTCATTTTCCTTCTCATACTTTGTTAGCTCTATTCCAAAAGCTACTAGCCAAATCTTATGAATCCATTCCTTTTGGTTCTAAAGAACAAATCCTTTAATACGTTGTTGCCCTCTGTGACCTATAAGGTAGTTGAGGTCATTTTCATTGGCAAAATATTATAATTTTTATGCCTTTGATTATTCAGAAGAAGTTGTTTGATGTTTTTGACATATTTGACAGCTGTGACCTTGAAAGCAGGTCAATATCCTTTTCATTCTCAAACTTTGTCAGGCTCCATCCCAGGAAGACACCAGCCAAATATGAAGATTCTATACCTTTTAGTTCCTCAGAAGAAGTTGTTTGAAGTTTTTGAAATATTTGACACCTGTGACGTTGAAAGTAGGTCAAGGTCATTTTCATTCTCAAACTTTGTCAGACTCCTACCAACGAATCTTCCAGCCAAATATCATGACTTTAGGCCTGTCCATTCTTCAGAAGAAGTTGTTTTAAGAAAAAGTTGACGGACGACGCAACATGACATAAGCTAGCTCACTTCCCCTTCGGCCAGGTGAGCTAAAAAAGCTGACAACAGAGGATGGACGACAGATGCCTACGCGACATCTTACTTTGTTCCTTTAATTTGGGCTTAAAATTATTAAAAACACTTTGAATCAATTAGGACAATTTTCTTTTAAAACTAATTCCTTACCATTTTCAAATTTATTTGCAATGCTGGCCAGATGGTAGCCTTTCAGCCTCCCTCCAAGGCCCTGACAAAATTGACTGGCATTTTGCCAGGTTTTGAGAGATGTGTAGACCCGGAAACACTTGTTGCCGTAGGGCCTGAACCCAGCAGGACAGTTGCCATGTATGATGGGTGCCGGTGTGGTGACATTGTGGGACACAAGTCCGTTCTCACAAATATAACCCGTCTTTGTTGCACAGTGATTGTCGTTCCATTTCCCTAGAATTTTAATATAAAAGATTGTCATTTATGACATACAAATACAGAAAAACCATTCCACATCAGAGAAGTATTAGAGTAATGACGGTATCTGTGCAATCCGATGAAGATATTTCCAACTGAACATATAACAGTCAAGCAACCATTCAAAAACACTAGAACCATCAGCAGTTATACACATGTAGATGTTGTTCTAAACATGAAGGGCAGCCAACGATGCCTTATTTTGGTAGACACAAACAGGAGGAATACATTTTATTATATATTACGTACCATATTTTGATCAATTTTATACAATATATTTGAAGCTGCACAGAAAAATTAGTCTTATACAGGAGGTGCGTTGGTAAAAAGAGATTGCTCAAAAACATCTGCAATACATTTCAATATTGATAATCAATTATTTTGTTTGTTTGTGATAAGTGGGACCTATAAATTACATATACTGAATTAATCAAAATTTTGAGTCAATTATTATTGCAATACATGTATCAATGTTTAACATTGATCTGCGAGCTGACAAATCAAGGACAAGTTTGTTTACATCAAGGGAACAGAAAAACAAGGTAGTAAGACATTGAGCCACTGTCTGAATACAGGTCAACTATGTGTTATAAGTCAGCGAGAGACATTTAAATGTCACATACAATGTAATACAGGTGGTCGTTGTACAGAGGTGGTTATAACAACAGGTTTGAATGTTTATTATTCCGTCTTTTCGTTATTGCAGAGATATCTGCTCTTGCGAGCAGGTATTGATTGTTACGTCGTTAGTTTGTGCGAGAAAATTACGTCCTTTTCTCAAAAAGTTATGATGTTACTCTCACAAACAAATGACGTAACAATCAATACCTGCTCACAAGAGCAGATAACTCTGCAATACAAAAAGACGGATTACAGTAAGCCAAGAAATAGGATATGTGAAAATCTATCAGTTATCAACAAAAAGCAGCTACAAAAGACAGGTTGATCAAGCAGTGATATCTATTCTTCAAAAATTATATTTTGATATTTTCATACATTATACATTCTGTCTTTGTTTTACAAGGTAAACACACACCGTTTTTAACTGCAATTTGGCCACAGTCCTCTGCACCTCCGTAGTCGTTGGGTTCATTGTCGTTCCAATTGATGAACGATGGAACAGTGCCGTCGGACCAGCTGTGGGAAAAGACTAGACATGTTAGACCAAATATCTGTCAGAGAAACTCAAATACTTCAGCTAAAGACAACATGAAAAGACTAGACATGTTTGATAAAATATCTGTCAGAGAAACTCAAATACTTCAGCTAAAGACAACATAAAAAGACTAGACATGTTAGATAAAATATCTGTCAGATAAACTCAAATACTTCAGCTAAACACAACAAGAAAGCTACAGATAGCCTTAACTGCTGAGAGATTGTTATTTCTCTTTTGAACACCTCTGACATCCCTTGTAGGTGGGTTAAGGTTATACAATCTGATCAAGCATCATAGCTCTTGATCAGAAGCAAGTACTAGTACTGCGACTCTAGGTTCCTTTCTATACTTACTGGTAGCCATATGGGGAATCAATTTCATTGAAACCAATCCACAGGAACATCTGGGATGTATTGGCAATCTGTAAAAGAGAAGACCTTTGATTTCAGATAAATGTTTTCTCTCCCTTGATCAGTTGGGAAAACTTACAATAAGGCATTTTTGCTATAACATCTCTAAGGAAATGAGCTAGAAAATACTTTTTTTTCGTTCTGAATAGGGCTTTCGATTTACCCAATAAGAAAAACCAGAAATGTATTCTGTAAGAATGGATACCCTGCACAATACCTGACCCTAGCAGGAGAAATTTAACAGCACTTCGTCCAAATCTGAATGCAAAACATTTTTCAAGATCTTAGGTCAAAAGTCACTTTGACAAACATTGCATGTTTCACTATTAATTCCTTAGTAAAGAAGAACCCAGTGGTAAGTAACTAAACTAAAATGTTATCACATAAAAGATCCTACATAATTCTGTATATATGCATAGCAGACCAATATGTAACGTACATACAGTGCTAGTGGTACAGAGGTCAAGGTCAAAGGTCAAGTTTACAAAACTGTTGTGCAAGCATCTGAAATTGCATGACCCTACCTGTGCAGTACTTAGTCCTTAAGTGACTAAAACAAAGAATCTTAACCAAGGTGAAAGAGATCAAACGTCAAGGTTAAAAGTGTCATGCAACATCCTGTTATTCCATAACTGACGTAAACATAAAAAAACTTAACCAAGTTCACAGGCCTAGATCAAAGGTCCAGGTAATAAATGTATCATGTTAAGTTGTATAACCCCATATATAGCTGCAGCACTTTGACCAAACTTCATTTAGGTCACAAAGGTCAAGATAAAAGGTCAAGGTCGCAAAAATAATAATCCTGTAAAATGCTGTACTTATAAAGGTCTATAAGTCTGTAAAGTCACAGTACTTGCTCAGTAACTGACCTACATACAGAAACTTAACCAATCAGATGTACAGACAAGGATAACACTATAAGCCCCTTACCAAATAGTGGTGGGGCATAAAAGGTCAAATATAAGAGAGAATGTTGCCAAATTTCGCTACCCAATAAATATATACAATACCGATGTTTTGAAAGAATTTACAAAGGAAACTCTTTACTAACCTGAAACTCCAGGAAGCGTTGCTCTCCAATGGTACCAATACTGGCGAGATCGCCACCATTAGTCTGACAAAAAGTGCGAGCCTCTCGCCAGGACTTGGCATAGTTTCCCGAGGCATCCTGGATCAGGTAACAGTGGTTGTTGGAAGGGAATCTCACATACCCATGGTGAGGGCAATTATCTGGAATTTTACATTGAGGCAATACAAATATAATGACTCTTTTAATAGCAGTTGCAGAAAAACTACGGCTATATGATGTATATATAATTGAGTGAATACTTGACAAAGGTGTCAACCTCTGAAACCTCCAATGAGGCAGATCTACCTCATTCCTTATCTTTCATTTTTTATGCATCAAAATAACTCCAAAAAACATTACTTTGATTCAGATACACCTGTTATGATCATTACACACGCCCTGTGGTAACTAGGAGATCATTTGTTCCCGGGATGTAGTTTTTTAGTTTGTGTGAGTTTGGACTTGACGGAGGGAGTTTCAAGGGAGATTGGTAAATTTTGGTCAAAATGAGGGAGTCTCCTCCCTAATGTGGGAGGGTTGACAGCTTTGATTTATGTCCATTTTACAATTTTCTGTTTCTTCCAACATATGAAAAGTACCATGGAATGTACACCATCCAAAATGCACCTCCGGAGTACCTGTATGTAGATTTTCATCTATACCTCATAATTAGTACACGAGGCCCAGATGGCCTGTATGGCTCATCCGATCTTTATGCCCAGCAATGGTACATACTTATGGCCATTGGTTGGGATAGCAATCATTTCAAAGTTATGGTTAGGGAATTAAGTCCCTAGGGGTAGGGCCAGACTGCAGTGTCAATTCTAATATCAGGACTGAGTTCATCTCTTGATGCCCAGCAAAGTTTTGTATGGTAAAGGGGTCTGAATCTCAACCATTTCAAAGTTATGACCCATATGAAGACGGTTCTATCATACTTTCTTTGTGACAAATGATACAAGAAATTTGAAGGAATGCAGCTTAACAAAAATATTACCTGGACAAAATGCCAGAAGATAATTTGGTAATGTTAATTATCTGTTCTTACTTACATAGTGGAGCAGGAGGTGTTGGCATTGTCATTCTAGGTCGGGATGTGGTCCCTGTAATACAACAATATGTACAGTTTTAGCACAGGCAATTATTCAATGTCATCCAATGTCCAGATGTGGTCACTGTAACAAAATATATGTATCGTTACCTTACCAACCCTGAAATTTTAATTCAGAACTCAGAACTATACAAGAAATGCCAGATATATATTTGTCTAATATTATCACTCTGTCTTCTGATTGTCAATTTGACTGATGTCAATCACATGTTCAGATATTTAAGAAATTATAAAGTGAAATATAGACTTAAAATAGAAGTCTAGGTACCAATAGTTTCTATATATAGATGTAAGGTATACGGTATCTATATGTCTAGGTACATAAAGTATCTATATATAGATGTCTAGGTACATAAAGTATCTATATATAGATGTCTAGGAACATAAAGTATCTATATATAGATGTCTAGGTTCATAAAGTATCTGTATATAGATGTCTAGGTACATTATGTATATATATATAGATGTCTAGGAACATAAAGTATCTATATATAGATTTCTAGGTACATAAAGTATCTGTATATAGATGTCTAGGTACATTATGTATATACATGTATATACATGTATATATATATATAGAGAGATGTCTAGGTACATAAAGTATCTATATATAGATGTCTAGGTACATAAAGTATCTGTATATAGATGTCTAGGTACATTATGTATATATATATAGATGTCTAGGAACATAAAGTATCTATATATAGATTTCTAGATACATAAAGTATCTATATATATATAGATGTCTAGATACATAAAGTATATATATATATATAGATGATCAGGTACATAAAGTAACTTTTCATAGATGTTTAGGTACATAATTAATTACATAAAGTATCTATATATAGATGTCTAGGTACAAAAAGTATATATATATAGATTTCTAGATACATAAAGTATCTATATATATATAGATGTCTAGGTACATAAAGTATCTATATATAGATGTCTAGGTACATAAAGTATCTATACAAAGATGTCTATAGGTTCATAGATTATAACTATGATGTTATTTCCATAATACGATGAGTATTAAGTTACCTCTTCTGATAGAACAGATCCAGTTCTTGGTTCGACTACAGGGGGAATCATTCCACTTCCCCGAGGAGTATATGACCTCCACACAGTTCTCAGCATTGTGGAAATTATTGGGTTCTCCTGGACTCCAGTTCACAAAGTCAACCCTAGATTTGTCCGCCCAGGAAAATACTGCAATCATTTGCATGAGGAGTTATTTAAAACAAAGTATAGGAAAGAACATCCTACCTATAATAATAATAGTTTGAGGTTCTTATATACTGCTTTATCACAACCTAGCTCCTAGGTCGTCTCAAAGCGGTTCACAAATTATTATCCGTTGTTTTAGGGCCTTTGCAATCAGCCAATACCTTTCTCAACTCCCTTGGGAGCATACAGCCGGTGCTACCATTTCAGCGCTCACAGTCACATACTAATTTACAGCTGAGTAGACTGGAACAAGCGGTCCATGAAGGGGAGTAAAGTATCTTGCTCAAGGATACAACACAGTGCCGTGACGTGACTCGAACCCGCAACCCTTTGGTCACGAGCCCAGTGTCCTACCACTAGACTACCATGCCTCTATAGCAGCACTCATGGTTGTTCTGTGAGCTGTGACACACTTCTCCTTACTTATTACAACGTATGTATACCTGTGTCAGATTTTTGCAGTTGCAAAATGATTGAATGAATCTTGTTATTCTCTTTTTGTTTCATGAAGAAATAATTTTGTCTGTATGAACATCAATATGTGAACTATTTTACAATAACTTTATGCTTTTTATACAGGTGTTCCTGTAATGTTGACTTCGACAGACCCTGTATGTAACCATGGACACTGTTTGGTTCATCTGTTGAATGTGACCTTGCCAGCAATTGGTGACCTCTGACCTTTGACCTGAACATACTCACTTTTACCGTCATGACCAGCGCGTCCAGAATACTTCAGTCCAATCCAGAAGTTTCCATTATTTGTTCCTCTATAATAAATGAAAACATATAAACATTCAACAGATATATGAAATCAAATTCTATCAATTTGAATTATAATCATATAAACTTTTATCCTCATTATGCACGGTAAAACCATAAACTTGGTTCTATACTGATTTTGACCCTTCAAATGAGAAACCCCTACATTGGTCCTGCTGATTTGGGCCCTCCGTCAGGAAAACCATGACATCGATTTACTGATTTTTACCTTCCCAGGAGAAAACCCCTACTTTTGTCCACTAGTTTTGACTCTCCCTCTGGTAAACCCTACTTTGGTCCACTGATTTTGACCCTCCCTCTGGTAAAACCTAATTCTTTGGTCCACTGATTTTGACCCTCCCTCTGTTAAAACCTAATACTTTGGTCCACTGATTTTGCCCCTCCCTCTGGTAAAACCTAATACTTATGTCCACTGATTTTGACCCTCTCTCTGGTAAAACCTAATACTTTGGTCCACTGATTTTGACCCTCCCAGTGATAGCACCCTACCTTTGTCCACTGATTTTTACCCTCCCAGTGATAACACCCTTCTTTTGTCCACTGATTTTTACCCTCCCAGTGATAACACCCTACTTTGTTTCACTGATTTTTACCCTCCCAGTGATAACACCCTACGTTGGTCCACTGATTTTGACCCTCCCTCTGGTAAAACCTAATACTTTGGTCCACTTTTTTTTACCCTTCCTCTGGTAAAACCTAATACTTTGGTCCACTGATTTTTACCCTTCCTCTGGTAAAACCTAATACTTTGGTCCACTGATTTTTACCCTTCCTCTGGTAAAACCTAATACTTTGGTCCACTGATTTTGTCCCTCCCTCTGGTAAAACCCAATCCTTTGGTCCACTGATTATGACCCTTGCAGTGGTAACACTCTACTTTTGTCCACTGATTTTGACCCTCCCAGTGATAACGCCCTACCTTTGTCCACTGATTTTTACCCTCCCAGTGATAACACCCTTCTTTTGTCCACTGATTTTTACCCTCCCAGTGATAACACCCTACGTTGGTCCACTGATTTTGGCCCTCCCTCTGGTAAAGCCTAATACTTCTGTCCACTGATTTTGACCCTCTCTCTGGTAAAACCTAATACTTTGTTCCACTGATTTTGACCCTCCCAGTGATAACACCCTACGTTGGTCCACTGATTTTGCCCCTCCCTCTGGTAAAACCTAATACTTCTGCCCACTGATTTTGACCCTCCCAGTGATAACACCCTCCCTTTGTCCACTGATTTTTACCCTCCCAGTGATAACACCCTACTTTGTTTCACTGATTTTTACCCTCCCAGTGATAACACCCTACTTTGTTTCACTGATTTTGACCCTCCCTCTGGTAAAACCTAATACTTCCGTCCACTGATTTTGACCCTCTCTCTGGTAAAACCTAATACTTTGGTCCACTGATTTTTACCCTTCCTCTGGTAAAACCTAATACTTTGGTCCACTGATTTTGACCCTCCCAGTGATAACACCCTTCCTTTGTCCACTGATTTTTACCCTCCCAGTGATAACACCCTTCTTTTGTCCACTGATTTTTACCCTCCCAGTGATAACCCCCTACTTTGTTTCACTGATTTTTACCCTCCCAGTGATAACCCCCTACTTTGTTTCACTGATTTTTACCCTCCCAGTGATAACACCCTACCTTTGTCCACTGATTTTTACCCTCCCAGTGATAACACCCTACGTTGTTCCACTGATTTTTACCCTCCTAGCGGTACCATGTTTATGTTCCCTTCCACGCCAATCAGACACCTACACCATTCGGTTCCTCCACAGGGTGTCATAGGGAGCACTGTTGTGGAACACCGCCATCACTGCTCCTTGTGATTTACAGTCAGCCTCTGCATCCTGGTAACTAAGCCTCTTATTTGGTAGCTGGATGTTAACCTAATACATAGTAAAATAGAGTATAAATACTCTAATTGTCTAATGTTCGCTAAGTTATTTGTTCAGGTATTAGGATATTTCAAGCCAATAGCTTCAACAATTATGTTTGAACATTGAAACAGCCACATCTTTTCAATTTTTGCCCATAATTTTAATATTAATGCTTGTTTCATGGAGATATGAAAAACACACTGATTTGAGTATTCCATATAAAAAAGGATATATTATCAATAATGGAAAAACAAATATGTTTATTTTAAACATTTATGCTCCAAAATCAGTTCCTTAATCGTTTATAATGATAAGTTTGAAATATGACACTGTATGTGTAATCATCCTCGATATCCGGGGTTTACGCTCACTTTCCCTTTCTGCACCCCTGGAATATGTCATAGCAAAATTGAAGGCTCAAAGCTGCTGTTTGATTGGTCTCGGGGAAAAAACCCCTAACCAATCGCTAGGCTGATACATGTACTTTGAAGATTACACAGGGGTGACATCAGACTTCAAAATCAGTCATTTTGTACCACTACGTGACACGATTCTTTTGATGTACATCAAAGGATCAAATTCGTCTTCTTGTATCATCGGCAGGGTGGTCCACACTGAGCCTTCGATTTTGCCATGACATATTCCAGGGGTGTAGAGAGTGTAAGGCAGCGTAACCCCTGGAGTGTCCAGGATGATGTATAATTTGATGTGCAAGAATCTGTAGCGATCTGCTCTTCCCCTACCTGGAAGCAGCTGTTAGGATCGTTAGAATCGGTCCACCAGCCCATTGGGCAGGGAATGAAGCCTGTGGTAGTTGGGGGTCGAGTGGGCGTGGTGAACCCCCGCCTTGTCTGCTCACAAACAACCTTGGATGTTGTGTTACACAGAACATCAAACCACAGGCCATTGTTAGCACCGCCGGCCTGAAGGGCTGCACATCGACTGCTACTAGCTGCCAACAACACATATTTCAGGCTGTATATACAGTTTGTAAATACTTGATTGAAAAAATATTTATATCGATCAAAAGAAGAGGATAAAATGTTTAGGTCATATATCTTACCACATCTAAAAGGTACATGATAACATGGTTTTGATTCAAGTTCAATAGTTTCTTGGACAGCTTTTGAACTTGTAAGGTCAAAAAAGGCTAGTTTATCAATTAATAAGGAGAGGAAATTCAAACTTATGAACAAGAGGCTAATACGGCTTGTAAATCAAACAGTCAGGACAAAATATTCTCATTAAAAGTACTGTAGTATTTTTTAAAAAAATCCTTCTTTTCGGCTCCTTTTATCTGGTTCCAAGGATGTTCCATAGGATATATACCTGGTTGAAATATGTATGCATGTCCATATATTCTATGTAATGACCTTAGAATTAAGGGTGGGACCAGATCCTGGAGCCAATATTGGTAGTATGAATGTATTTTTTTCCCCCCTTCCTTCATGCCCAGCAAGCATATTCTAAATGGTTATACGATTGGGACATGATGGGACTGTTTCCAAATTATGACCAAGGACTAAGAAAAATGACTCCTGGACTACTGACCTATACATAATCTGAAAGTATAATGAAAGTAGGTGAAGGTAATTTAAATGTGGACAATTTAGAACACACCGATCCCATGTACCTAACTGGCTACTGCCTACAGGCCTACAGGAACACCAGTAGATGATTCTGAAACTCTTGTTCCATTGTAACTTGTGTTAACATTTGACTCTTGCCAGCACTCAAATGTTTACCTAATAAAGGGTCCTAGTTTTCAATATGCAGTACATACTTGGATTGTTTGGGCCCCAGTTGGTGTATTGGAGTGCTGAGCCATCTTCGTAATATCTGTAAGTGCCTGGGCTAGCAAGGTCTGTGACATCCGTCCAGTACTGACCCGTCTTACTAGCCAGAACACTGGACACGTATGCTTGTTCATATCTGTAATCAAACATAATACATATACTGGTAGTCAATTAAGTTGATACTTCCATACCAATACTTGCCAATTTTTCAAATTTCCATGGGGGAGATTACGCGTGCTTGGAATAAAAGCAAAAATAAAATGTGTGTATGTACACCCTAGGGAAAAGAACACTTGTAAATGACCTCTTTTGAGCTGTTCATCAGAACTGAGAAAATAGGAAAAGTTTAGCAAATTCACTGGTAGAAAAAGCTCAATTTTAGAGTCCAAAATCGGGAGTCTCCCTCCTAAATAGGGGGAGTTGGCATATTTCCATACCTTATATTACTGCCTTTGCTACCTGTACAGTATGTCAATCTATCTGTCTTTCTTTTCTTTACCTGTCTTTGTTATCTGTACTTCTGTTCTTACCTGTCCTCAATCCTCACAATAGTAGCTGAGTGGTCATGACAGACTTTGTTTGCGTCAATGAAACTCCTAGGCATGTCAACAAGAAGGTAGCAGGACCATCGGAAGGCCTTCCACCCCTGTATACATGGATAGTAAATTATAAATTAATTAACTCCTGTAACAGGAGAGGAAAAATGCAACGGCCAGACCAGGGTTCGAACCTGGGACCTTCCGAACTCTAGAGGGACACTCTACCAGTTGGGCAATCTGGTCGCCGATGATCGAACCAGTCGAGTTCCGCTACACTCCTGTCTAATAATTTATTCAATAAATCACTAAAAACAAATATTGGAAATGTAAAACCTACTTTTCGTCCTAATTCATGTTACACATTATCCACAGTGCAGACAATGTGGGCTTTGTTATTGTAGCTTAGTAATCAATTGTTAACCTTTAAAGCAAGACATTTCATTGGATGCTTCAGGGTGTATTTTTATTGGCCAATCAGATGCCTCGAAACCTTGAAAAAGGGTTGGCCTTAATTTTTCATGACAACATGTATTCTAAAATAATCTCAAGAAAGAGTGGTAACAGGAGATGAAACAAACAAACTGAAAATGACATTATTAACCCATTCACCCCTGAAATTTCATAATGAACTATTTCAACCTTTCAATTGGAAGAGTTTAAATGTGTCTTCAGGGGTGAACGAGTTAAACCACATGAGATGAAGTAAAATGCATTGTGCTTGTGTAAAAGTGTTTAAGACTACATACCGGAGCACAGCCAACGACAGGCTGGGTTGTGGTTGGTTTGTTCGTGCCATGTTTGGGGGACATACACATGTACTGTTTGTGTGAGTAACAGTCCTCATCCTGCCAGCCCCCTGTCTACAACGACAGACACACAGACGTTTGTCCCCACAGTCTTATATATACAGACATACATCAATTATTATATATTGTTATAAATGGTAAGTTAGGGAGGAAACTAAGACAGCTGTAAGGGTTATAAAAAAAAATCAATTCACAAAAACAACTCTATAATGACTTACAATTATAAAGTGTGAATGTTTAGCATTGAAATTGCTGATTGCAGCACTGACATACATTATTTTCCAGAAATATGATACTCAAATGTTACTTTTCAATTTGACCAATAACACATGCTGGCAAAAGTCCTCATCTTTCTCTTACCCTGGACAGGCGTATCCACGTTTTACCAGTGTGAGATATCCCTTTTTCAACCTAGGGTTGAGACAGGAGGATTTCCCTATACATAGCAATGGTATGACATCACGTCAATAATACAATGACGTCATGTCAAAAATCCATCAACGTCACGTCAACCCTGAATTTAGCCTTTAATGTTAACATTTCATTATGTATATGACCCACAATGGGTGAACAGGGTAAGAGAAAAGAATCATTCACCCCCTTGAGGGTGAGATAAGCCGGGAATTGCAACCCTCGGGGAAAGATTCTCAAGTTGCCATGCAAACACTCGGCAAAGCCTGGTATTTGCAACTTAAGAATCTTTCCCCTCGGTTGAGATTCCCCTATCTCACCCTCAAGGAGGTGATTGATTCTATTAATCTCAACAGAAGTTACCCTGTACCCATGATACATGTTCCTGACTTAAGTCAGCTGAACTTACTGAATTGGACATGCTGACACAATCCTCATCCACATTAGTAGGACTCTGAGGCTGGTTTGCATTCCAGTTTGTATACATGACTGGTTCCCCTGCTGACCACTCAAACACAGCCTCTTCCACAGTGTCGGTCAAGCCTATCCATATGTCCTGGCTGTTTTCTACAACATTATATAAGGTCAACAAAGGGTCAACGAAAGGTAAAAACATGGTCAACACAAGAGCATGCATACCTGATGACACGATATACTACATGAACTTAAAGACAACAGTCTTTTTACTGGCACCTTAAGTGAGAGTCAATGACTCTCCCCGAGATAATACCAATAGTTTGCTGTATAATTTCTCTTGCAATGTTACCCAGCTGATTAGCTAGGCTAGGGGCTAATGCATCTAGTTCAAGTTCACAACATAACTGGTACCTCAGACTAATGACAGTTGGTCATTACCTGAGTATTCTACAAAATATGCAGTCCTCTTGCTGCATAAACAAGCTGATTTATTCTGGTTGTACTAAATGTAGTCTGACTGAACAGGAGGGCCAATAACTACTTCAGCTCCAGAAACATGAAGACGATGACCAGCACTATTCTGACTGGTAAAAATTGCAGAAAATGAGAAAGAGAGGCTTACTTTGGTCATGTACTAACACTCGTTGATGAGGCTGAAGAGAAGGACCCGTACTTACTCTCGTTGATGAGGCTGAAGAGAAGGTCCTGTACTTACTCTCGTTGATGAGACTGAAGAGAAGGTCCTGTACTTAATCTTGCTGATGAGGCTGAAGAGAAGATCCTGTACTTACTTTCGTTGATGAGGCTGAAGAGAAGGTCCTGTACTTACTCTCGTGGATGAGACTGAAGAGAAGGTCCTGTACTTACTCTCGTTGATGAGGCTGAAGAGAAGGACCTGTACTTACGCTCGTTGATGAGGCTGAAGAGAAGGTCCTGTACTTGCTCTTGTTGATGAGGCTGAAGAGAAGGTCCTGTACTTACTCTTGCTGATGAGGCTGAAGAGAAGGTCCTGTACTTACTCTCGTGGATGAGACTGAAGAGAAGGTCCTGTACTTACTCTCGTTGATCAGACTGAAGAGAAGGTCCTGTACTTATTCTTGCTGATGAGAAGGTCCTGTACTTACTCTCGTTGATGAGACTGAAGAGAAGGTCCTGTACTTACTCTTGCTGATGAGGCTGAAGAGAAGGTCCTGTACTTACTCTTGCTGATGAGGCTGAAGAGAAGGTCCTGTACTTACTCTCGTTGATCAGACTGAAGAGAAGGTCCTGTACTTATTCTTGCTGACGAGGCTGAAGAGAAGGTCCTGTACTTACTCTTGCTGATGAGGCTGAAGAGAAGGTCCTGTACTTTCTCTTGCTGATGAGGCTGAAGAGAAGGTCCTGTACTTACTCTTGCTGATGAGGCTGAAGAGAAGGTCCTGTACTTACTCCTGCTGATGAGGCTGAAGAGAAGGTCCTGTACTTTCTCTTGCTGATGAGGCTGAAGAGAAGGTCCTGTACTTACTCCTGCTGATGAGGCTGAAGAGAAGGTCCTGTACTTTCTCTTGCTGATGAGGCTGAAGAGAAGGTCCTGTACTTTCTCTTGCTGATGAGGCTGAAGAGAAGGTCCTGTACTTTCTCTTGCTGATGAGGCTGAAGAGAAGGTCCTGTACTTACTCTCGTTGATCAGACTGAAGAGAAGGTCCTGTACTTATTCTTGCTGACGAGGCTGAAGAGAAGGTCCTGTACTTACTCTTGCTGATGAGGCTGAAGAGAAGGTCCTGTACTTACTCCTGCTGATGAGGCTGAAGAGAAGGTCCTGTACTTTCTCTTGCTGATGAGGCTGAAGAGAAGGTCCTGTACTTACTCCTGCTGATGAGGCTGAAGAGAAGGTCCTGTACTTTCTCTTGCTGATGAGGCTGAAGAGAAGGTCCTGTACTTTCTCTTGCTGATGAGGCTGAAGAGAAGGTCCTGTACTTTCTCTTGCTGATGAGGCTGAAGAGAAGGTCCTGTACTTACTCCTGCTGATGAGGCTGAAGAGAAGGTCCTGTACTTTCTCTTGCTGATGAGGCTGAAGAGAAGGTCCTGTACTTTCTCTTGCTGATGAGGCTGAAGAGAAGGTCCTGTACTTACTCCTGCTGATGAGGCTGAAGAGAAGGTCCTGTACTTACTCCTGCTGATGAGGCTGAAGAGAAGGTCCTGTACTTACTCTCGTTGATGGGGATGAAGAGAAGGTCCTGTACTTACTCTCGTTAATGAGACTGAAGAGAAGGTCCTGTACTTATTCTTGCTGATGAGGATGAAGAGAAGGTCCTGTACTTACTCTCGTTAATGAGACTGAAGAGAAGGTCCTGTACTTATTCTTTCTGATGAGGCTGAAGAGAAGGTCCTGTACTTACTCCTGCTGATGAGGCTGAAGAGAAGGTCCTGTACTTTCTCTTGCTGATGAGGCTGAAGAGAAGGTCCTGTACTTACTCTCGTTGATGAGACTGAAGAGAAGGTCCTGTACTTATTCTTGCTGATGAGGCTGAAGAGAAGGTCCTGTACTTACTCTTGCTGATGAGGCTGAAGAGAAGGTCCTGTACTTACTCTCGTTGATGAGGCTGAAGAGAAGGTCCTGAACTGCCTGACTGTTGACAGTTGCCACGTCACCTCCCATCACCTTACACTGGTGCTGGGCTTCTGCCCATGTCTGTAGATCCAGCATCAGGAAGTAGCACATGTCTTTGTAGCCAGTCCAATTGGGAAGGCACACCTTGAAGTCTGGGGCTGGAATATTGGAAAGTAATGATAAGGATATGTCTAGTTCAAAACCTAGGGAGTTTGAATAACTAAACTAATCTCTATCACAAAAGGGGGCTGGAATTAGTGGCGACTTCCCAAGTCTGTCTTTGTGCTTTTTCATTGTTATTTTATCTCACATCCAAACATGTTAACTTCACCAAGGGCTTCCACAACTAAAACATTATACAACCATTTGAAGACACTGTTTACATGTCCCATATAAATTGCTCCTGGTATTGGGAATTGAACCCATGCCCTTCTGAGCTTGCCACAGGCCTCAAACACTGGTTTAACATTTCAGACCCAAGCTGGCAGCTACTGGGGCAAGTAACTGGTAAGTTAGATTTGTTTTATTACATGTATTACTATTTAGGACAACAACCAGAAATACCAATCTGGAATCTAAAGAACTGTTAGTGTCTGATATCAAAGTCAGTGGAAAGGCAATTAAATGTTTAGATTATTAGAATGTGAATGATCTGGTTTCTACAACATACTCAAATGATCTATGGCTAAAACCTACTTAGACCGGTGGAGTAGATGAGGTTGGAGGTACGGCCTCCACAATGGTAGGTTGTCTGAGGGAAACAAGCCTGAGTACAGTCTGTAGCTGGACCATACTGACCATAGGAGTTACCACAGAAACACTTATACTGGTTCTGCAGACCAGCATAGTAATAACCCTTGTTGAAGCAGTGGTGGATACACATTGGGGGCCACATCCCCACACTGGGGTCAGTGTAGGGTTCAAAAGTCAGGTCACGATGCAGAGGGTCGTCGGCATAGCAACCAATACTTATTCCCGAGTCAGCACCTGTACACGAGGGAAAGAAATATGTTTCATTTCTTTACAGGCAAGGTCACATAGATCTTCATTCAATATAGGATTGATGAAACAATATCAGAAGCTTTTGAATTTGTAAATGTTGGTAGAATATAATGTAATTAAAGTTTTATAAATATAATTTGAAATTAAAATGAATAGACATTTTTACAAAATTTCCACGTCAGTATCAGGAATTTTTACTTTAAATCAAACAAAGGAATAAAACTGTCATCCTGATATCTATATTTTCTGAACTGACCACTTTTCAAGAACTCCTTTGAATGACATCAACATCATAATAGTAAACCTTTAATAGAGCCAGCATTTTCTTAACATGAAACACCAAAAATATCGACATACTGTAGAATACGGGACAGGCATTTATCGTGAGCAATATGAAAAAATGATGGTGTCTTACGATTCATTGGGTTCAACTGATAAAAAGTGGCTCATCTAAGACACCATTATCTTAATTAACTCATTGACCCCTGAGGTTTCATAATGAACTATTCCAACCTTTGAATTGGAAGGGTTCAAATGTGTCTTGAGGGTGAATGAGTTAAATGTACTATATGTACAACATACATTGAATAAAAAAAAGTCTTATTTTCTGAGATTGTTTTGTGAGAAAACAAGTAATAAATATTTCATTAGATCAACATAAAGACAAATTCAGTTTGTTTATTTGATTTTTGTGACAGCTACCTGGACAGCCGTAGATCTCCCACCTAACAGAGATGCGACCGTGGTAGGATACCGGCCACAGGCGGATGAGGCGGGCCATGATAGGGTAGGTAAAGTCGTACTTCCTCACTGATGTGTGATCCCAGTTACCAACAAATGTCTGCCAAACAATTTTGTAAAATACCACATGAACAGACTTTGTGGTGTAAGCACTGACATATATACAGCTTATATACATGTATGCAATGGATATTTTGACAAACATAACGGGAAAATACAGATTTTTTTTCCTAACATATTTGACCTTTTACCCATGATATTTGTGTTCTATTCTATAACTATTATCTACTACATGCACTTGGCTTTGACCTTTGATTTTGAAGTTATATTTCCTCCCAAACAATAAATAATTTTGGACCCGAAACTTCTTATTCTTGTGTAATAACACAAATCATTATTTTTTCATATGATTCCCGACAAGTTATTGGCCAGGAGTGCATCACATGTCCACCGATAAAAACTGATAATGACTTGGAGCGCAGGATTTTTGTTGAAGGACTGGGCGTTTCTAAAAATAGAATTATGACGTGTCTCCAAACAATGCACCGTACCATTTCTGAAGCTTTTTTGTTGTGTTTTTTTTCCCAGATTGCTTAGATTACTGTTTTATAAAATAATAAAACAATTGTAGCCTTTAACTTCGGTCAAAACCTGGATTTATTGACCCGAGAAAAGATATATTAACCTCAGACTGCATCCTCGGTTAATATATCTTTTCTCGGGTCGTTAAATCCAGGTATTGACCTCAGCCAAAGGCTATAATTGAATAATATATATTTGGTCTTCTCCTATGACATGAAAGCTCTATTTATTTTGTCATAACAAGCTTACCACAGCGTGTCCTGTGAATGCGTCGTAAGCGTACCAGATTTTACCATCCTGTGAGTAGCTGATATTGTAGGAGGTCACAAACTCTGCCTGATCCTGGCGACCTTGGGTGGCCAAACTGACAACTTGGATGAGATTGCCAAAGTCAGCCTGTATGTACTGACTAGCATCATTGAATTTGGCTGTCCATGCCCCTCCATACCGACCCATGGCAGGTACGTTCAGGCGACTACGAAATGGACCGTGCTCGGGATCAAGTTGGGAAGAAGCTGCCAGTTGATCGTCACTGATCTTGTTTTTTCCGTTGATCAATGGCACACCACTGCACCCTGAGGGTGACAAAACCGTCAAATAATTTCATTCATTTTATCGCTTTATTTTCTCTCTTTATAACTGAAAAGATTGCAAGCCTCTACAAATTGAACATGCAAGAGTGAATGCAAGACCTTGTATGATTATTTCTTTACTCACCAAGAGCACAAACCAGAATATCCATCCTTAGGGATACCCAGGTATGAAACGTGACCGGTTCCACTCTCACGAAGCGAGCTGTGAAGTGTCCCTTAAAAAAGTAGGTCACCGTCTCATTGTTGTTAGTGTTACCAGGGAGAGTCTGTGTTAATAAAATCAAAGAGAGTCAAATGTAAAAAGACAAATAATAAACAGTAACCATGGTTACAAACTTACACTTGTAAAGGACAATAAACTGTGGAATGGTAATATCACAGAGAATGAGAACAGAACAAAGCACACACACAGAAAAAAAAGATTTTCTATCTATCTATCTATCTATTCTGCAACACCCTCTTTCGAGTATTATGTGCAGCGTACCCTGGTATATATTGAAACTAAACTTCCAATGATATCCTGTACTATCCTACAGGACCTTATAGCCCTAAAAGGCTGGTTTCTCTGTCATATATGCTAACTTCACCAGCACACTCATGTTCCTTATTAACTGTCAATCTAATAGTAGATTTAAATTGCAAACTACTTACCAAATAATTTAAAACAGTATATTTTCATAAAAAATGTTCATGAAAGAATGCAAAGCAATTTTTTCTTCTTTCTTTTAATGTGCATGAACTTCTAGGTATGTGTACCACACACGCCTCACGTCATACATGCTTCTAAATCAATTATTACTGGAAATGATAGACACTGTAGTCTGTATAAACAGCTACCAAGGTGGGTAGTCTTTTGGTCATGTTTCAGTGTTCGTATCTCTGTCCTCTTGCCTACCTTAATACGACCATACGGCTCAGAGTAGTAGTTGAAATTATGGCTTGGACCTCCAAGATTGTACAGGACTTTGAACTGACCAACCCACTCTTGAGCATCAGGGTTACCAGCTGTGGTCACCCCTCGAATGATTGCAGATTTCCCGAGGTCAACCTGCAGCCATTGGAGATTACTGTCCGAAGACCGGGCACGCCAGCAGGACGGAGGTGCATTGGCTGTGATTGGATGAAGTCTGCCTGCTGCAGCTGAGTGGGCGGGGTCAGAATTTGTTGATGAAGTAATGGCAGTGTCTGGAGCGACCAGTGGCCCACTCACGCTGTAGTCCGGGGTACAGAAATCTGAAGTGTCATAATCTAAGGTGATTCAGGGGAAGTTTAACTCACTCACCCCTGAAGACACATTTGAACTCTTCCAATTCAAAGGTTGGAATATATAGTTCATTATGAAATTTCAGGGGGAGTTTAATCATCAGAGACTGAATTCATGTAACTTAAAAATCATTCAGTCTTATTTTCAATTAAACCAAAGGATTATTAGAGTTCTGTAAGTCATATAAAATCTACTTTTTGAAAAAGTTTTTTTTTATAAATTTAGGGTTCTATAGGAAAGGTAGAGAGTAATTAAGAGTACCAAGTATACATGATGATTCTGCAGAAAAGTATTTTTATATCTACATTTCAATAACATTACTTCATAGTACATGTATTTCAATGTTTGTATATGTTGAGGTGGCTGGTATACCCACCCTGTATGCAGCCGAGGATCTCCCAGCGCAGGGATATGCCGTGGTGCCAGGACACTGGGAAGAGTTTGATACCTCTGGCCTCTATAGGAAACTGTATCGGGTTGGTGACGGGTGTGTCTGGGTCGTGGTTTCCACTGAAGATCTGACAAACACAATACATACAGTAACGTATATCATTGTTTGACAATTAATTTGATATTCTCGTTATTACGATATGCAAATCATGATGTTGATATCAAAAGATTGCAAACCCGATTCCATCACAAGAGGTACTTACATGCAAAACCTGTAATAGTACATAACAGAGTATATGAGATCTGCTCCAAAGAAATCATACAAGGTAATTATAACCCTGGACCATAACCTGACTTTAACATGCAACGCTCTGCTATTCCAAGAGAAACTTTTTTTTGGGAAATATAATTAACAGAGTATATTAGATAGAATGATGCACAGATAGATGAGAAGCGTGCAGCCCTATTCAATGGAGGACTAATAATTTTGATGAACTTCAAAGTGTATTTCCTAACTTAAATCATCTTTACCTAGATATGGGAAAAGGCCTAAATAAATGTCGGTTTAGGGTTACCCTACATTCTCCCATTTTTTCCTGATATTTCATGCCCTTTATTTTGACAACCACTGGTAGACTAGATGACCCCTGCTTTGCCCCCTCCCACTAACCTTGATAGTTCCTGGAGATTCCTGGTACCACACCCACTTAAGGGAAGTACCTGGTAGACTAGATGACCCCTGCTTTGCCCCCTCCCACTAACCTTGATAGTTCCTGGAGATTCCTGGTACCACACCCACTTAAGGGAAGTCCCTGGTAGACTAGATGACCCCTGCTTTGCCCCCTCCCACTAACCTTGATAGTTCCTGGAGATTCCTGGTACCACAACCACTTAAGGGAAGTACCTGGTAGACTAGATGACACCTGCTTTGCCCCCTCCCACTAACCTTGATAGTTCCTGGAGATTCCTGGTACCATACCCACTCAAGGGAAGTACCTGGTAGACTAGATGACCCTTACTTTGCCCCCTGGCGCCCACTAACCTTGGTAGTCCCTGGAGGTTCCTGGTACCACACCCACTCCGAGTAGTAATCATACTGGTACTGTAGTTTATAACTGACAACCCATTCATCTGCATCTGATCGCCCAACAGTGGTCACTCCCTTCATCACAACAGTGTTGTAGAATTTGGCCATGATGTACTGACCTGGGTTGGTATTTATTGATGACCACCCACCTGTTAGGAAAGAAAAAAGAACATTTTGGTCAGGTTATTTTTCAACTGACCTTCAATACATTTTATATCATGTCTTTAAAATTTGCAATAAAATGTGTATTAATTGCAATTTGTTTTTTTTTGCCAAATTACTACCTAAATGGTTGATAGTCTTCATATAAAGCAAATGTATGGTTTTACCTAATTTTAACGTCCTATCAACAGTTTAGGTAATATAAGGATGTGCCTCCATGTGTGTTAATGTAACCATGCTTGTGTGTGTGTGTGCTGGAGGCAAGGTATGTTGGTGTGATTGCCTCCTTGCGATAGTGCGGATCTGATGCCAACTTTATAGTGCCACCATGCGGAAGGCACTCAGCACAGCATGCTGCTTGGTCACATTATACTGACAACAGGTAAACACGTTGCTGTGATTATCCTAAATGCTGGCTGTTTAGCAGGGAATAGCTAAAAAAGATGTATTAAGACTAAATAGTAAACATACTGCCAAGATTATTTTTCAACTGACCATCAATCTTAAGCTTATCAGAGCCTATCTCAGAAATTTACAATAAATGTATATTAACTACAGTGTTTTGGAATGTTTCCCAAATGATTAACCTTAATTTAAAAATAAGTATAAAGAATAATTGAAATTAAAAGATTTAACTCATAAACACAGTTTTGGTAGAAGTGATAGCTGAACAGTTCCGGAGGCTGTATAATTAGTTAGTTAGTTGACGGGTTTATCGCCTACATAACTCCACCCATTTGGGCTTCGTCTCACTGACGGAGGTCGGTGTTCTGTCGGCGAGAGGCTGTATAATTAGTTAGTTAGTTGACGGGTTTATCGTCTACATGACTCCACCCATACGGGCTTCGTCTCACTGACGGAGGTCGGTGTTCTGTCGGCGTGAGGCTGTATATTGTATATTACCTCTACTGCCTTTATAGTAGCGCGAGTCGGCTGCTGAGTTCCGCGGAGCTCGTATCGTGGAGGCAGACAGGGCATTGGCATCTAATAGACTGTAGTTCCCCGAGATCATCGGCTCTACCACACAGGTCTGGGATGGAGTCTGAGTGGCACTTCCCGGTGTCGTCATGGTAGGGGCGGCTAAAACATAGACAACACACAGAGGTGAGTTAATTCATTCATTCCTGAAGATGCATTTAAACTCTTTCAAATCAAAGGTTGGAATAGTTCATGATGAAACATTGGGGGTGAATGTGTGGCAGTCGAGTGTGTAGTCTATAGTAAGACATTATTTAAGGAATAAGTTACTATTTTGATAAGGCTATGAGGTGATAACTGCAGTTATAAGTATGTATACCTTGAATGATGGCAAAGCCATATGCATCTATGATAAATTTACCCATGCTCACATATATTTTTGATCATGCATGTCATCCAACTGTGTCTTGTTTAATTTGCGGAAAACTTGCATAACCCTGCCCACACATATTGTTGTCCACATCATGGAAACTTGTCTCATTTTATGGTAAGGTTTCGAGGTTATAATAACACCATTTTAGGGAACAATATACAGTTGTTTCATGCCTTATCAGTCAACAGTCAAAACTGTTTTCCCGAGGAGTTGGGACCCACCAGATGAACTGTTTCCTGGGGCCCGAGGAAAATGGTTTTGACTGTTGACTGATAAGGCATGTAACAACTTTTTTGTTACTTGACCAATCAATGAAAAACAAAAAGTTCCATGTCGAATGTGATGTTTAGATCTACCGACAGCCGAACGTCAACAATCCAGTACCAAAAACACTTGATCATCGGGGTGCTTGTAATTATAGGTGCGTTCGATTACCTAACACGTGACCAGTCAACAGTATCACGTGACCAGTCAACAGTTTTACGGTGACCAGTCAACAGTTTTACGGTAGCACACATTAGCTATAGTTTGTTTGGTGAATTGTCTGGGAAACAGTCGAAATTGATTAATATGCATTTTTATATAGCGAGTCAGGTAACAATATACAATTGTTTTATGGCTATTTGGGGAACAGTCAAAGCGGCCTTGGGCAAACAGTTCCCCAGGGCTTCCTTCTACAGAGGGGGTAATTGTAAATGATGATCAAATTGATTTGGCTATGCTTTGTTTAATACCTTGTTATCAATGTGAAAGAGTCCACGAACCCCTCATCTCGATTCAGAATTAGTGGCTATGCTTTGTTTAATACCTGGTCATAAATGTGAAATAGTCCACAAACCCCTCATCTCGATTCAGTATTAGTGTTTACCTATCTAGCTTTAAGGAGATGTAGACATTAGCTTGTCAAAGTGTTTTCCAACTACAGCTAGTCAGTGTACCTACCTAGCTTTTTAAAAATGTAGGTGTTAGGTCTGTCACAGTGTTTTCTGACTTCAACTCTGTGTTTACAGATGTAGGCGTTGTGTTTGTCGCAGCGTTTTCTGACTACAATTCTGTGTACCTACCTAACTTTTTACAGATGTAGGCGTTTCGTTTGTCGCAGCGTTTGTCATTCCACCTGTAACCCCACATCGACACAATCTCCACGCAGTCCTCACCAACACCCGACTCATTCGGCTCACCTTAAAAACACAGGGCTAACAAATTGCTGGAATGTTGACTGTCAGAGGCAATATACCTCAAAATGTTATTTCATGGGATACAGTGTTTGATATAAAGAAAACATGGCCATTTAATTAAAAATATCATTTTCAACCAGAGATAAAACAGAATTATATACTGTATATAATTTTAATTTCTAGCAGTACACTGTTTTATTTTTGTGTATATGGGAAAAAACACAAATCTGGACTATGCTTAATTCATGCATGGTGTCCAGATTGATGAATCTTTTCTATTAATTTGCTTAAAAAAAAATACAATCCTGTTAAAAAAGTAGAAAACAATAATGTGCAGAATACCAGTATACACAGCACATTAAATGTAAACATCACATCTGCTGTGAAAACTTCAACAGCAGTAAAAATTGTTTGTACTCATGTTCTAAAATACCTGCACTCTAAACTGGAGGACAAGAGTGCAGTGTTGTATTAGGTACATTTACCTGCATCCCAGTGGAAGAAAGCGAATGGCCCGCCATCTACCCACTCCCAGCCCCCTTCCACTGTCCCATCTGTGGCTCCTATCCAGAAGTTGTATGGTAGGTTGGCAAACTGACCAGAGGAAAGAACCGCTGGAATACAAATTTCATTGTATCAGTATTAACTGGTTTTTATGTATCTTGTGAGTCAAACCTACCTGTTGATGAAATACTCAGGTCTAGTATTGATACAGGTAATCTCCATTGACTGCTTCTGCTAAAGACTTTTAACATAATCAAATGGAGAATGCAGACAAAGAATTAATTAGAAACATATACTGGTCACAATAAATACGACTGAATTTGAAACTATTATTATTATAACAGGTGAAAGATGTATTGTAGAAAAAGTGTCTATACCTATTTTGATTTATTTAAAAAAAGTATTTTTCCCATAAAAGGGCTTCAGAAGAAAGTTGGATATTGAGTTAAGGATCCCTGTCCCACTGCACTGCCATTTTTCCTATATACAGTAGCCTCCCCCTAAGTTTTGTTTGTAGCACATTTGGGCTTGTACACTTCTGTTGTCCAGGTAACTCAATCAGTTTCATTGATGGTACCATTGTCCAGGTAACTAAATCAGCTTCATTGATGGTACCATTGTCCAGGTAACTCAATCAGCTTCATTGATGGTACCATTCTCCAGGTAACTCAATCAGCTTCATTGATGGTACCATTGTCCAGGGAACTCAATCAGTTTCATTGATGGTACCATTCTCCAGGGAACTCAATCAGTTTCATTGATGGTACCATTGTCCAGGTAACTCAATCAGCTTCATTGATGGTACCATTCTCCAGGTAACTCAATCAGTTCCATTGATGGTACCATTGTCCAGGGAACTCAATCAGTTTCATTGATGGTACTGTTGTCCAGGGAACTCAATCAGCTTCATTGATGGTACCATTCTCCAGGTAACTCAATCAGCTTCATTGATGGTACCATTGTCCAGGTAACTCAATCAGCTTCATTGATGGTACCATTCTCCAGGGAACTCAATCAGTTTCATTGATGGTACCATTGTCCAGGTAACTCAATCAGTTTCATTGATGGTACCATTCTCCAGGTAACTCAATCAGTTCCATTGATGGTACCATTGTCCAGGTAACTCAATCAGTTTCATTGATGGTACCATTGTCCAGGGAACTCAATCAGTTTCATTGATGGTACCATTCTCCAGGTAACTCAATCAGCTTCATTGATGGTACCATTGTCCAGGTAACTCAATCAGCTTCATTGATGGTACCATTCTCCAGGGAACTCAATCAGTTTCATTGATGGTACCATTGTCCAGGTAACTCAATCAGTTTCATTGATGGTACCATTCTCCAGGTAACTCAATCAGTTCCATTGATGGTACCATTGTCCAGGTAACTCAATCAGTTTCATTGATGGTACCATTGTCCAGGTAACTCAATCAGTTCCATTGATGGTACCATTGTCCAGGTAACTCAATCAGTTTCATTGATGGTACCATTGTCTAGGTAACTCAATCAGTTCCATTGATGGTACCATTGTCCAGGTAACTCAATCAGTTCCATTGATGGTACTGTTGTCCAGATAACTCAATTAGCTTCATTGATGGTACTGTTGTCCAGATAACTCAATTAGCTTCATTGATGGTACTGTTGTCCAGGTAACTCAATCAGTTTCATTGATGGTATGTTGTCCAGGGAACTCAATCAGCTTCATTGATGGTACCATTCTCCAGGGAACTCAATCAGTTTCATTGATGGTACCATTCTCCAGGTAACTCAATCAGTTCCATTGATGGTATGTTGTCCAGGGAACTCAATCAGTTTCATTGATGGTACCATTGTCCAGGTAACTCAATCAGCTTCATTCATGGTACCATTGTCCAGGGAACTCAATCAGTTCCATTGATGGTACCATTGTCCAGGTAACTCAATTAGCTTCATTGATGGTACTGTTGTCCAGGTAACTCAATCAGTTTCATTGATGGTATGTTGTCCAGGGAACTCAATCAGCTTCATTGATGGTATTGTTGTCCAGGTAACTCAATCAGTTTCATTGATGGTATTGTTGTCCAGGTATCTCAATCAGTTCCATTGATGGTACCATTGTCCAGGGAACTCAATCAGTTACATTGATGGTACCATTGTCCAGGTAACTCAATCAGCTTCATTGATGGTACTGTTGTTAAGGTAACTCAATCAGTTTCATTGATGGTATTGTTGTCCAGGTAACTCAATCAGTTTCATTGATGGTATGTTGTCCAGGGAACTCAATCAGTTTCATTGATGGTATTGTTGTCCAGGTATCTCAATCAGTTTCATTGATGGTACCGTTGTCCAGGTAACTCCATCAGTTCCATTGATGGTACCATTGTCCAGGGAACTCAATCAGTTACATTGATGGTACCATTGTCCAGGTAACTCAATTAGCTTCATTGATGGTACTGTTGTTCAGGTAACTCAATCAGTTTCATTGATGGTATGTTGTCCAGGGAACTCAATCAGTTTCATTGATGGTATTGTTGTCCAGGTAACTCCATCAGTTTCATTGATGGTACCGTTGTCCAGGTAACTCCATCAGTTTCATTGATGGTACGTTAACGTTGTCCAGGTTACTCAATCAGTTTCATTGATGGTAAAGCAATCTAAAGTAAAGGATTCCTTAATTGGAGTTTGTAGAATAAAATGTCCCCCATTTGATAATTCAAATATTCATTATTTAATTACCCTGTAGAAAGTTCTGTTCCCTTGGGCCACTAATACTGCTGAGGTTGCCACCCCTTCTGTTACAGTCCCACTGAGCGTCAGGCCAGGTCTTAGGGTGGTCGTCAATGATCTGGTAGCAGTAGTCGTCCAGAGAGTTGTATATCCAGTCTGGGCCACACTTGTATGACCAGCCAAAAACTACAACAACGGTCAACAATCACGTTTATTAAAACCTCACATAAAAAATCTGCAATTTTATTGGTTGGGACATATTTTCGTATTTAGTCATATTTTGAGTAACATTAAGTCGATGGAAACTTTATTTGCAACATCTTAATAATTTATGACAGTGTAAACTGCTGAGTGTTAGTGGTGTTTAAGCGTACAACTATGATCAATGTACATCTCCTTTCATCCACCATCTTTAATATGTTTGCTTTGACATTACAAATAAATCTTAATCGATCATGAATGAAAAAACAGCAAATAACATGTATATGTTTTTTACCTTTATGGTGCAATTGTAAAAATTATCCTAGAAAATAGTCTCTTGCCAGAGATGAAAAAAACATCTTACATAAAAGAGTGATTCAGTACTGTTCCTTAGAAATAATTCTCAAGATATTTCACTCAATACATGCAGTGTATCTCATTAATAACACAAGCATGCTTATTGTGAATTCTAACTTTCAACAAAGCAATATTCCCTGACCAGGGTTTGCCTAAAGGGCCTGTCGTCACACCTAGCCGATTGAAGTCGCCGGAGCTATACCGGAGCAAAAATTCGGCGATTTTCTGGGATCGGTACTAGTAGGGCAGTACAACCGTATCACATGGCTAAGAAACGGTAGAACATCGTCAGAACATCAGCGAAAAATTTAGCAACGGCAGGTTACGGTAGAATATTTTTAACTTGCTTGAAAAATTCAGCCATTGTGCTGCCGGAGCGAGTAACGCGACTACAACGGCACTACAACGGCAGTACTCCGGTATGGCTTAGTTAATGTCGGTAGAGCACCGGTAGCACCCCGTAATGGAACAGCAGCTCTACGGTGGCCTCAATGTGTACCGTACTGGTACTGATGTAATACCCTAGTACTACCGAATACCACCGAAGTAGTACTGATGTGCCGCTGATGTACTAACGACAGGAAAGTGGTATTAGCTAGCACATTGGCTCTTACACTGGCAGAATAATGATAGAACAACGGTATTGCAACGGGAATGCCGGTTCTACATTGGTATTGCTATACGGTCAATTTTGATTTTTTTTTTCAAGCTCTTTCTCGCCTGAGCCCTGCCGATTTTCTCGCCGTTGTTAATTCTTTGCTGATATTTAGACCCGGCGAGGTACATCAGTAGTATGTGATAGGCCCTTAATGACCATTATATTCTGTATCATAAGGAACATAGATTCTGTAACAAATTTTGTGAAATAAATTGAAAGAAATATTATAGTTCTCATATTCAAATTTTAGCCTTCTGGCCTTAATCAGGAAGCAAAGAAAATATTTGTTTGATAATACATTCATGAACATAATTCCTGAAGGAGTACTAATATCCTGGAAATAAAATAGCTGATATACCATACCTGTAGTAGAAGGAGGTGTTGTCATAGAAGGAGGTCCAGGGTCTGAAAAAAACAACACAGCCAGAGGTGTATCAAATGGCAAGTAGTGAACCACAAACAATAGAGTCAGAAGAGTACCTAATGGTAAATAATGAATCACAAAGAATACAACCAGAGGTGTATCAAATGGCAAGTAGTGAACCACAAACAATAGAGTCAGAGGAGTACCTAATAGTAAATAATGAATCACAAACAATACAACCAGAGGTGTCATTATAACCCAGATAAACAAGGTGCTAGAAAGGTATTCGAAAGACAACACTGGAAATCGAGAAAAAGGGCCGCTGTGGCCAAGTGGTTTAGGTGTCTGACATTCTGCTAACACTAATATAAGAAACAGAGTTAAACAAAGAATAGAGTCAGAGGTGTATCTAATGGTTAGTAATGAAACACAAAGAATAGAGTCAGAGGTGTATCTAATGGTAAGTAATGAAACACAAAGAATAGAGTCAGAGGTGTATCTAATGGCAAGTAATGAAACACAAAGAATAGAGTCAGAGGTGTATCTAATGGCAAGTAATGAAACACAAAGAATAGAATCAGAGGTGTATCTAATGATAAGTAATGAAACATAAAGAATAGAATCAGAGGTGTATCTAATGGCAAGTAATGAAACACAAATAAACTACAGTCACAGATGTTCTTGAAGTAAGTATATCGAGGAACAAATAGTCAGTGAGAGGTGTCACTAACGGCCAATAATGAATCCCAGGACAAAATTCAAACAATTCATAGCTTAAAATAAAATAAGTTTAAATACCATGGTCATGTTTATAGAATAAATGATAATAATAGTAATAATTTGAGGTTCCTATATACCGCTTTATCACAACATAGTTGGTAGTACGTCTCAAAGCGGTTCATAAATTATCATCCGTGATTATGGGGCTTTTGTAACCAGCCAATATATTTCTCAACTCCCTAGGGAGCATACAGCCGGTGCTGCTGTTTCGGCCCAACCACATACTCATTTACAGCTGCATGAGTAGACTGGAACAAGCGGAGTAAAGTATCTTGTTCAAAAATACAACACGGTGCTGTGCCGTGACTCGAACCCGCAACCCTTAATCACAAGCCCGACGTCCTGCTACCGTGCCTCCAGAATCATAACTGATTGAACCAAATAACCAAGTCAATGTATTGAATCAATCGGGTCTCAAAGCATGTCAATTTATTTCCTTTTTGGTTAGAAGCTGCATTGAGACAAGACAACGACTGAACCATTAGATATAAAACAACACGTTATAACTGCTGTTTGTATACAAAAATACTTCTGCACAGAGAAAATAACTGCAGTAACAATATCCATCTGACATTGTGGAATGTAGAACAGGTTTTGAAGACAATCTATACTCAAAACAAATATCTGACAATTGTAGTAGGACGAGGAATAGTGATAAAAATAGTGCTGTCGCTGAGGCTCAAACCCTTGGCTCTCCAGCCCGATGTTCTATCGCTGAGCTAAAGGGAAATTCCCTACAGCTGACACTTAATTGTAAGGCAACCTTATCAATGCACATCTTTTACACAATTACCATTAGACACTGTATATTGTGTAATGTACTGTAGACCTACATGCTTGTTTCTTACAGATGAAGTCTAGTTTACTGGTACAGTTCCCATCGTCCCATGACCCAGTGTAGTCCTGTCTGCCTGCCACAATACGAATACATGTAGAACCAGTGGTGACATCATCTGGTTCACCGGGGAAAAAACTATGGAATTGTATCTGCAAAAAAAACCAACGTATCTTTTTAAAATCATGTACATCATTAACCTACGCTTAAATATATAAATTCTTACATATATTAGACTGTTTGTGAGTTGAAACAAAATTAATAATCATATTTCATATTAAAAGAAGTAGTAGGATGGAAGTGAACTTTATATTTAACATTTATAAAAAAATATATTTCGTGTCTTTACAAATTTAGAACTATACATTATCATAATAAATAAGTAATAGAGCCAGATGTTGGGAAATTAATCTATTTTATTAATGTGTTGTGTTATTTGTGAATAATTCAATAAAGAGGACTTCATACAGGTGTGTTGTCCACAATCTGGACAACTGTTTTCTTGATGACGCTGTACTTGAGACCAATCCAAGCTGTGTCGATTTGGGCCTGATTAACTAAAAGAGAAAACAGCAAGGAATCAAGGGAGACTATTTAATATGAGCTGGAGAGATACTCAAGAGATAATGTACAATGATCAGGGAATTCATAATGTAGACAAAATCTATAAATTTCAATTTAGGCTTCTTTCTTCATTGAACTAGGAAATAGAAGTGAAATCTACCATAGAAAGCCACAATAACCTGCCACAAACAGGACAGATCACCTACCATAAACAAGGGAGATCATCTACCATAAACAAGGGAGATCATCTACCTTAACAAAGGAGACAATCTACCACAAACAGGATAGTACATCTACCATACACAAGGGAGATCACCTACCATAAACAAGAGAGACAATTTACCACAAACAGGACAGATCATCTACCATAAACAAGAGAGACAATCTACCACAAACAGGACAGATCATCTACACCATAAACAAGGGAGACAATCTACCACAAACAGGACAGATCACCTATCATAAACAAGAGAGACAATCTACCACAAACAGGACAGATCATCTACCATAAACAAGGGAGACAATCTACCACAAACAGGACAGATCATCTACCATAAACAAGGGAGACAATCTACCACAAACAGGACAGATCATCTACCATAAACAAGGGAGACAATCTACCACAAACAGGACAGATCATCTACCATAAACAAGGGAGACAATCTACCACAAACAGGACAGATCATCTACCATAAACAAGGGAGACAATCTACCACAAACAGGACAGATCATCTACCATAAACAAGGGAGACAATCTACCACAAACAGGACAGATCATCTACCATAAACAAGGGAGACAATCTACCACAAACAGGACAGATCATCTACCATAAACAAGGGAGACAATCTACCACAAACAGGACAGATCATCTACCATAAACAAGGGAGACAATCTACCACAAACAGGACAGATCATCTACCATAAACAAGGGAGACAATCTACCACAAACAGGACAGATCATCTACCATAAACAAGGGAGACAATCTACCACAAACAGGACAGATCATCTACCATAAACAAGGGAGACAATCTACCACAAACAGGACAGATCATCTACCATAAACAAGGGAGACAATCTACCACAAACAGGACAGATCATCTACCATAAACAAGGGAGACAATCTACCACAAACAGGACAGATCATCTACCATAAACAAGGGAGACAATCTACCACAAACAGGACAGATCATCTACCATAAACAAGGGAGACAATCTACCACAAACAGGACAGATCATCTACCATAAACAAGGGAGACAATCTACCACAAACAGGACAGATCATCTACCATAAACAAGGGAGACAATCTACCACAAACAGGACAGATCATCTACCATAAACAAGGGAGACAATCTACCACAAACAGGACAGATCATCTACCATAAACAAGGGAGACAATCTACCACAAACAGGACAGATCATCTACCATAAACAAGGGAGACAATCTACCACAAACAGGACAGATCATCTACCATAAACAAGGGAGACAATCTACCACAAACAGGACAGATCATCTACCATAAACAAGGGAGACAATCTACCACAAACAGGACAGATCATCTACCATAAACAAGGGAGACAATCTACCACAAACAGGACAGATCATCTACCATAAACAAGGGAGACAATCTACCACAAACAGGACAGATCATCTACCATAAACAAGGGAGACAATCTACCACAAACAGGACAGATCATCTACCATAAACAAGGGAGACAATCTACCACAAACAGGACAGATCATCTACCATAAACAAGGGAGACAATCTACCACAAACAGGACAGATCATCTACCATAAACAAGGGAGACAATCTACCACAAACAGGACAGATCATCTACCATAAACAAGGGAGACAATCTACCACAAACAGGACAGATCATCTACCATAAACAAGGGAGACAATCTACCACAAACAGGACAGATCATCTACCATAAACAAGGGAGACAATCTACCACAAACAGGACAGATCATCTACCATAAACAAGGGAGACAATCTACCACAAACAGGACAGATCATCTACCATAAACAAGGGAGACAATCTACCACAAACAGGACAGATCATCTACCATAAACAAGGGAGACAATCTACCACAAACAGGACAGATCATCTACCATAAACAAGGGAGACAATCTACCACAAACAGGACAGATCATCTACCATAAACAAGGGAGACAATCTACCACAAACAGGACAGATCATCTACCATAAACAAGGGAGACAATCTACCACAAACAGGACAGATCATCTACCATAAACAAGGGAGACAATCTACCACAAACAGGACAGATCATCTACCATAAACAAGGGAGACAATCTACCACAAACAGGACAGATCATCTACCATAAACAAGGGAGACAATCTACCACAAACAGGACAGATCATCTACCATAAACAAGGGAGACAATCTACCACAAACAGGACAGATCATCTACCATAAACAAGGGAGACAATCTACCACAAACAGGACAGATCATCTACCATAAACAAGGGAGACAATCTACCACAAACAGGACAGATCATCTACCATAAACAAGGGAGACAATCTACCACAAACAGGACAGATCATCTACCATAAACAAGGGAGACAATCTACCACAAACAGGACAGATCATCTACCATAAACAAGGGAGACAATCTACCACAAACAGGACAGATCATCTACCATAAACAAGGGAGACAATCTACCACAAACAGGACAGATCATCTACCATAAACAAGGGAGACAATCTACCACAAACAGGACAGATCATCTACCATAAACAAGGGAGACAATCTACCACAAACAGGACAGATCATCTACCATAAACAAGGGAGACAATCTACCACAAACAGGACAGATCATCTACCATAAACAAGGGAGACAATCTACCACAAACAGGACAGATCATCTACCATAAACAAGGGAGACAATCTACCACAAACAGGACAGATCATCTACCATAAACAAGGGAGACAATCTACCACAAACAGGACAGATCATCTACCATAAACAAGGGAGACAATCTACCACAAACAGGACAGATCATCTACCATAAACAAGGGAGACAATCTACCACAAACAGGACAGATCATCTACCATAAACAAGGGAGACAATCTACCACAAACAGGACAGATCATCTACCATAAACAAGGGAGACAATCTACCACAAACAGGACAGATCATCTACCATAAACAAGGGAGACAATCTACCACAAACAGGACAGATCATCTACCATAAACAAGGGAGACAATCTACCACAAACAGGACAGATCATCTACCATAAACAAGGGAGACAATCTACCACAAACAGGACAGATCATCTACCATAAACAAGGGAGACAATCTACCACAAACAGGACAGATCATCTACCATAAACAAGGGAGACAATCTACCACAAACAGGACAGATCATCTACCATAAACAAGGGAGACAATCTACCACAAACAGGACAGATCATCTACCATAAACAAGGGAGACAATCTACCACAAACAGGACAGATCATCTACCATAAACAAGGGAGACAATCTACCACAAACAGGACAGATCATCTACCATAAACAAGGGAGACAATCTACCACAAACAGGACAGATCATCTACCATAAACAAGGGAGACAATCTACCACAAACAGGACAGATCATCTACCATAAACAAGGGAGACAATCTACCACAAACAGGACAGATCATCTACCATAAACAAGGGAGACAATCTACCACAAACAGGACAGATCATCTACCATAAACAAGGGAGACAATCTACCACAAACAGGACAGATCATCTACCATAAACAAGGGAGACAATCTACCACAAACAGGACAGATCATCTACCATAAACAAGGGAGACAATCTACCACAAACAGGACAGATCATCTACCATAAACAAGGGAGACAATCTACCACAAACAGGACAGATCATCTACCATAAACAAGGGAGACAATCTACCACAAACAGGACAGATCATCTACCATAAACAAGGGAGACAATCTACCACAAACAGGACAGATCATCTACCATAAACAAGGGAGACAATCTACCACAAACAGGACAGATCATCTACCATAAACAAGGGAGACAATCTACCACAAACAGGACAGATCATCTACCATAAACAAGGGAGACAATCTACCACAAACAGGACAGATCATCTACCATAAACAAGGGAGACAATCTACCACAAACAGGACAGATCATCTACCATAAACAAGGGAGACAATCTACCACAAACAGGACAGATCATCTACCATAAACAAGGGAGACAATCTACCACAAACAGGACAGATCATCTACCATAAACAAGGGAGACAATCTACCACAAACAGGACAGATCATCTACCATAAACAAGGGAGACAATCTACCACAAACAGGACAGATCATCTACCATAAACAAGGGAGACAATCTACCACAAACAGGACAGATCATCTACCATAAACAAGGGAGACAATCTACCACAAACAGGACAGATCATCTACCATAAACAAGGGAGACAATCTACCACAAACAGGACAGATCATCTACCATAAACAAGGGAGACAATCTACCACAAACAGGACAGATCATCTACCATAAACAAGGGAGACAATCTACCACAAACAGGACAGATCATCTACCATAAACAAGGGAGACAATCTACCACAAACAGGACAGATCATCTACCATAAACAAGGGAGACAATCTACCACAAACAGGACAGATCACCTACCATAAACAAGGGAGATCACCTACCATAAACAAGAGAGACAATTTACCACAAACAGGACAGATCACCTACACCATAAACAAGAGAGACAATCTACCACAAACAGGACAGATCGTCTTACAAAAACAAGGGAGACAATCTACCACAAACAGGACAGATCGTCTTACAAAAACAAGGGAGACAATCTACTGTAAACTTGGGAGTCAGGAAAACTCTTTCATAACATAGAAGATACTATACAAAGTAACTCATCAAAAACATACTTGAAGCATCAAGGAATTCTATATTTAAATGATGGACTAATTGAAATATTACTTAAAGCATCAAGGAATTCTTCATTTAAATGATAGACCAATTGATATATTTTGGTTAATATATATAGGATATGACCTCTGACACTGATTTACCTGTGATAAATGACTGTTCATAAGCATCTGTAATGGAGGTAAGCTCGGATCCGTTCAAGACACAGTAGTGGTGAGCATCGGTGAAGCTGTAGCCGGTGGAGTTGTCCGAGTGACCAAAATAGTAACACTGGTTCCTGAACAGCTTCCAGCCTTGGTCACAGTGCTGGGTGACTGGCAAACACATACACAGACAATCGGCTCACACACATGTCTATATTGATGTACTGTAACCCTGTTAATCTTCACATTTTTGTATGTTAGATAACATTTTTATTCTAACAATTAGTTTTGAAGCCAAGTTGTTAATGCATGGTAATGTTCAATATAAAACTGCATTTAGAATTCTTAGATTTGATAAAGTAAATAAATTATTTTCTACCCTTATGTATCACAGAGAAGTATTCACATGTAACTAAAGACTGGTATGTAGTTTGTACAGCTAAGCAGATTGGAAATATCAGGTGGCCTTGTTCAAGGACACCACAGATATGATGACCATTGTGGGTTAACATTAGGACAGTTCTTTAGATCAAGTTGTCGATGAATGAGATAGCTAGATACAGATACCAAGCTAATGTGACAAATCTGTAGTCACTTACCTCCTGACGAACTGTGGTATAAATCAAAAATGTACAATGGGCCATAACTCTGTATCTAGTGTGACACAAGATCTGATTTTAATGTGTGACATTTCACCATTACAATAGGTACTCAGATGCAAACGTTGACAAAGTGCTTCATGGTGATACAAGGGCCATAACTCTTTAGCCATAACTCTTTATATAGTACAGCACAAAAGTTGTGTTCAGCACATTACACTGTGCCATCAAAAGATTAAGTACTCACATGAACAAGAGGCCCAATGGGCCTGCATCGCTCACCTGGTATTAATCTAACAATTGTAACTTTAAAAGATGACTAAAATAAAGCTACAGGCAAAATATCAGCGTCTTGGCTTAAAGTTTAAAGTAATTCAGAAAAAATGGGCAAAGGTCATTCATTTGAACAAACTTGGTAGCCCTTCATCCCAGCATGTTACTGGCCAAATAGCAACACCCTAGACCCCTCGGTTATTCAGAAGAAGTCGTTTAAAGGTTTTTAAACATATTTGACCCCAGTGACCTTGAATATAAATCAAGGTCATTTATTTGAAGACCCCAGTGACCTTGAATATAAATCAAGGTACTGGCCAAATAGCAACACCCTAGACCCCTCGGTTATTCAGAAGAAGTCGTTTAAAGGTTTTTAAACATATTTGACCCCAGTGACCTTGAATATAAATCAAGGTCATTTATTTGAACAAACTTGGTAGCCCTTCATCCAAGCATGTTACTGGTCAAATATTATCACCCTAGGCCTCTTGGTTATTCAGAAGAAGTCGTTTAAAGGTTTTAAACATATTTGACTCCAGTGACCTTGAATACAAATCAAGGTCATTTATTTGAACAGACTTGGTAGCCCTTCATCCAAGCATGTTACTGGCCAAATATCATCACCTTAAGCCTCTTTGTTATTTCGAAGAAGTCTTTTAAAGGTTTTAAACATATTTGACCCCAGTGACCTTGAATATAAACCAAGGTCATTTCTTTGAACAAACTTGGTAGCCCTTCATTTGAGCAGGTAACTGGCAAAATATCATCACCCAAGGTCTGTCGGTTATTCAGAAGTCGTTTAAAGGTTTTTAACATATTTCACCCCTGTGACCTTGAATATAAGTCAAGGTCATTTATTTGTACAAACTTGGTAGCCCTTTATCCAAGCATGTTACTGGCTAAATATCATCACCCTAGGCCTCTCGGTTATTCAAAAGAAGTTGTTTAAAGGATTTTACCATATTTGACCCCTGTGACCTTGAATATAAATCAAGGTCATTCATTTGAACAAACTTGGTAGACCTTCATCCAAGCATGTAACTGGCCAAATATCATCATCCTAGGCCTTTTGGTTATTCAGAAGAAGTCGTTTAAAGATTTTAACATATTTGACCCTGTGACCTTGAACATTGATGAAGGTCATTTATTTGAACAAACTTGGTAGCCCTTAATCCAAGCATGCTTCTGGCCAAATATCATCACCCAAGGCCTCTTGGTTATTCAAAAGAAGTTGTTTAAAGAATTTTAACATATTTGACCCCTGTGACCTTGAATATAAGGCAAGGTCATTTATTTGAAAAAAATCTTGGTAGCCCTTCATCCAAGTATGTTAATGGCCAAATATCATCATCCTAGGCCTCTTGGTTATTCAGAAGAAGTTGTTTAAAGATTTTAACATGTTTGACCCCTGTGACATTGAAAAGTGATGAAGGTCATTTATTTGAACAAACTTGGTAGCCCTTCATCCAAGCATAATTCTGGCCAAATATTATTACCCTAGGCCTCTTGGTTTTTTAAAAGAAGTTGTTTAAATGTTTTTAACATATTTGACCCCTGTGACCCTGGATATAAGTCAAGGTCATTTATTTGAACAAACTTGGTAGCCCTTCATCCAAGCATAATTCTGGCCAAATATTATTACCCTAGGCCTCTTGGTTATTCAAAAGAAGTTGTTTAAAGGTTTTTAAACATATTTGACCCCTGTGACCTTGAATATAAGGCAAGGTCATTTATTTGAACAAACTTGGTAGCCCTTCATTTGAGCAGGTAACTGGCAAAATATCATCATCCTAGGCCTCTTGGTTATTCAGAAGAAGTTGTTTACAGATTTTAACATATTTGACCCCTGTGACCTTGAAAATTGATGAAGGTCATTTATTTGAACAAACTTGGTAGCCCTTCATCCAAGCATGCTTCTGGCCAAATTTCATCACCCTCGGCCTTTTGGTTACTGAGAAGAAGTTGTTTAAAGTAAAAAGTTGACGCCGGACGGACGCCGGACGCCGGACGCCGGACGGACGGACGACGGACGCCGCACCATGCCATAAGCTCACTTGGCCCTTCAGGCCAGGTGAGCTAAAAATTAGTCAATTGTAGATAAAAAAATATTTGAGATATATGCTCCAGACGAAGTGACACACCGACTGACGATGCAATGTGAACAATATAGTCATTGCCAGTGGTACATGTAAGGGACTACTTGTCCCTAAACAGTGTTTGGATATCCCTGGCAGTGAGCTCGGTAATCTTACCTGGTGGAGGGCTCTGTTGAATAACAGTCTTCACAAGTTCTGATTTGCAGATGAATGGAAGCAGGTCAAAACAGTACCCATTGGACCAGGAGCTACTGCTGGGGCCTGCAATTATACAGAGTGGTGGAGGAAATTCATTTAATTTTACTTTTAAATAATGATTTCAACAATTAATTCTTTCGGTTTCATGAATATTATTTTGAACACGATTATTAACACCTCAGTGGTTTTGTGCATCTTTGAACACAACTGATTCCATGAAAAATAATTTAACTTACACAGTCTGATATCTAACTAACATTTCACGACCTTGAACTTTCTGTTCCTGGAGTGATTTTGAACTATGACATTAAAGCAGTGATGGTCTGACGTACCGATCTGTAGGATGCCACAGTTCGTGACCTTTGAACTGTGCTGTGCAGGGAAGTTAGTGTCCCAGTTAGTGTAGCCGCTGGTTATCATGGTCCCGTTGTTCCACTGGTATATGTTGGGGGAGTTTACATCTGTAACAGATCGTTAATGATAGAAACGAAAGCCATGAAAGACATTTGTCAAGTAGACTCGGTAGCTTAAGACCTAAGTTCTGTACATTTATTATCAATTATGACATATCAAATATACAACATTTGATAAAGCTGAAAGACTACAGCAAGAAAAAGAAACTAGTTAGGCTTACCTGAAACTTACTACAGCAAGAAAAGGAAACTAATACCGCTTACCTGAAACTTACTACAGCAAGAAAAGGAAACTAGTAGGGCTTAGCTGAAACTTACTACAGCAAGAAAAAGATACAAGTACGGCTTACCTGAAACTTACTACAGCAAGAAAAGGAAACTAATACCGCTTACCTGAAACTTACTACAGCAAGAAAAGGAAACTAGTAGGGCTTAGCTGAAACTTACTACAGCAAGAAAAAGATACAAGTACGGCTTACCTGAAACTTACTACAGCAAGAAAAGGAAACTAATACCGCTTACCTGAAACTTACTACAGCAAGAAAAGGAAACTAGTAGGGCTTACCTGAAACTTACTACAGCAAGAAAAGGAAACTAGTACCGCTTACCTGAAAGACTACAGCAAGAAAAAGAAACAAGTACGGCTTATCTGAAAGACTACAGCAAGAAAAGGAAACTAGTAGGGCTTACCTGAAACTTACTACAGCAAGAAAAGGAAACTAGTAGGGCTTACCTGAGAAGCCTAGCCATGTCCTCTGTATTTTCAGATCATTGAGCGAGGATTGTATAAAATCATCTTCTTTGTCACTGTAACACACAAACATGGAATGGTAAACTGAATACTCCACATTCCTACCAGGGACAGAACCCAATTCATTTATACATGTAAGACACGCAACTTAATCACTTTTAGTCAGTAGAATAAACTCCATAATAGATTTATTTTGAAACTTATGGACCAATGTATCTATTTAGAACAGAAAGGTTTTCCTGTACTTAACATCTGGGTCCATGGCCCGTATTCATGACGCCATTCTCAAGCTCATTCATGGGTTCTTTACTCAAGGCAACTTTCTAAATCATGTGATACAGTCAAATAAGCTTGTGTAGCCATTTAAAGCAATACTCAGTTTGAAGTCTCCAAATTTTTCCAAATTTTTTCCAAAATGTGGTGATGTTCTGAATTCACCAGAACGGGAAATGTGTTTGAGCAAAGAATCCAAGTTTGAGCATTAGAACGGATTTATTAATACAGGCCCAGGTTTAAAGACTGATATAATTATGTTAAACAAGATTTTAATGCAAATTTTCAAGATACAATTATTGAGACATTTTTGAAAATTAACACTTTTTCTTGTATTTATTTCATTCAGATGATAAATCTGAATCCCTATTCATCATCCTGATTCAGCTGTGAATTTCAATCTCTTTAAAAATATGACGCATAAATATTTGTGCTGAGTTGCCATTCAGTTGATCCTGATTTCAACTACTGAGACCAGGTTTTCACAAGTTTACAAAATGTTTGTCAATTAGATAGCTTAAGTTTCTAATTCTGTGTCATTGTACCTGTCAATGGTGAGAAGCTTGGTTTTCTGGTTCTCACAAAAAGTTTTTGCTGCAAACCAGGTTGTTTGCGCGTTGGCTGCCGAGTTGACCTGATAACACTTCTCAGCATTACTGACCCAGCCATCAGGACATGTACCTATAGGAGTTTACATAGTACTGCAGTGTGAACAACTGGATTTGTCATATATCAAACAAGTATACTTAGACAATATATAACATGTACAGAAGGGCCTTGATGCTCACCATCACAAGATCTTCATTTATGTTCTATGTAAGTTTGATATTTTCTTTTCTCTTACCTGATGTATTGATAGTCATGTTAACAGTTACAGACCTTCATGACCTTACTCAGACCCCAACTGACCTGAATGCTTTCAGAATTTGAATGTGAAAATTGACCAATCATAGACCAGGATTCTATATGGACCGAAGTAGCTGTGCTTATCAATCATCATTTTTGTATTTTACCATATTTTTCCATATTTTTCACTGCATCAGTAAAATTGTAAGTCCATATAATCTGTATTCTGTTTTTGTTAATTTGGCTAAGTCTAATTTCTCCATATCAAATATTTTCAAAGTCAGGTTTAACGCATTTTCTCCATATTTTCTCCGTATTGTTTTCATATATTCTCCATATAAGAAATGCAGAAATCATTTTCCGCATTTCTCCATATTTCTTCTGTGGAAAAAATACGGAAAAATATGGAGTTCCGCATAAAATATGGAGATTTGAAGTGCGGGTAAATGCATCATGTGGCATATCCCTTCGATCAAGACCTCATACTGGTATGTGTGACATTGTCCTTCCATTGTGAGGTTGTTGTTTGACCTTTATACTAGAATAGTAATGTGTACAAATAATAATACATGTACAAGGAATATTTTTTTCATATTTTTGGCAGACACATTTTCTTCTGATCAAGGAGCTTGTTCAAGCTCAAAATGCAATGTACCAGTATAAGACTTGTTTTAAAAACATTCTTTCAAAATGGGGTGAGAATCATTGTGTATCACTATACATACCTTGTGGCCGGGCACAAATAAATTTTTTCTCCACCACACATAGCTCTGCCTCCCACACGTAGTTCGCCACGGGGTTGGCAAACACACATGTTCCACCCCTCTTCCTGTCAACCGATCGAAACAGAGAAAATTGTGCTGATAAAAAAATGTACAACTACATAAAGCTATTTACGTGGTCAGATAATATAACTTTTTGTTACATGTTCAAGATATTGTACCTCCTTTTATCATATAAAGTACTGTGTTATCCAGTGAATATATACCCATGTCATAATTTTTTTGCGCATTAACCCATGTAATAATGACCTATCAGCCCTGTGATTGGTTGTAAGTTTCAATTGTTTCAATTGTGACGTCACGCCTAGGACAAGTACATGACGTCACAGACTTACACAATGGAGTCAAAATGGCAGCTTTTTACATTTCAAGGTTGCATGAATAAATGCCACAAATCTTGATTATGTGATAAAAAGGATCTTACACTCTTTTTCATTTCATATGAAATTTATAGAACTTGTCACAAATTTTTCATTTCAGCTCGCCAGACTGAGAGGCTCATTAAATCGAAAAAATCTTAAGACTCATTTCATAAATCTCATGAAATGGAAAATCATGTAAGATCCTATATATATATTAGGACCTCCATGGTCAACTGTGTGTGACTACGTGTATATACATGGTCAACAGT